CGTTCTTGAGTGTCCAGATGTGTTTGCTAAGTTCGGTAGAGTTTTTGTGCTTGGCGTGGCGGAATGATGCGGTGTGATTTCTGTGTCTTGTTTTGGGATGAGGATGTTGCAACCCGCCATTTAGCAAGAACGTCAGCACCAATATCGGACACAAATTCCTCAGCCTAATCGACAAACATTTCCCTAAGGATCACAGCCTCCGCAAGATATTTAACCGCAACACCATCAAAATCAGTTACAGCTGTATGAACAACACCAAACAGGTCATTGACAACCACAACAAGCGCATCTTACACTCGTTCCACTCACCTTACACGAAAGACAACAAAGACGGCACGGGAACCAACAAAACATGCAACTGCCGACAAAAGAACAATTGCCCGCTCAATGGTAACTGCCTTCAATCCTCAATCGTTTATCAAGCCACCGTCACACGGAACGACAACAACACCTCTGAAACATACATTGGACTCACAGAAACCGACTTCAAAACAAGACACAGAAATCACACCGCATCATTCCGCCACGCCAAGCACAAAAACTCTACCGAATTTAGCAAACACATCTGGACACTCAAGAACGACAACATTGACTATTCTATTTCATGGCGCGTCTTATCATCTAACTCTCCCTACAACAGCTCCAGTAAAAGATGCAACCTCTGCCTAAAAGGAAAAATTCCTGATAATTTACCGACCCGACCTCTCATCACTAAATAAGCGTAACGAACTCGTATCTTCATGCCGACACAGAAACAAAGCGTTGCTACGCAACAGCTGAACTTTAAAGTTTTTAAGTTTACCGCGTATTATGTAAATTTTCCTAGTATATAAACGATAGTCACATGAATATTCTTTCATTAAATCCCTGAAGAGTGAAGTGATTCACGAAACAGGCTTGTCGGGAAATGTAGTTGCGTCGTTTTTTCCTCCCATAATATTTATTCTGCTCTGCTTCAACGTATTGAGCACTGTTCCACTCGAAAATCGACTTGCAGACTTCCTATATATATTATTAGATAGATGGGGCTCCGGTCGCATGACTTGAGCACTAGAGTCTCGCTTGATCGATAAATTATCCATCTCGTGCTTCAGTTCCATTGGCTATTCAGGAGAAGGGTGCTACGTCAAATCTACTGATGCTCACCAAACAGGGATAACTTTATGATGTCAAATTTCGTTCACAGCACAAAAACCTTCTTTCACCGTTAATTTTTCCGAAATAGTGAAAGACTGAAAAATTCAACATTATACTAACGTTTTCTGATACCTGAAAACGGATGGCAAATTCCCTGTTCAACCTTGTGAAAATTGGCCGTTATTGAATTTCCATCTATATCGTAGAACAATACAAAGCCAAAAACAGAAAAGACTACGAATTTCAACCTCTTTGAACGTAATAAAGTGGCTAATTAAACTTGCCATTTACAGATAAGAGCTTGTTTGAGAAGAAGGTTTCAGGCAATCTTCCCAGCAATGGATGATGGGACTAGCACGAAGCGAACATCCGTAATGCCCTAGGAAGTAAATGAGGATTCCACAGCCATTGCTGCCCCGAGAAAATAAAGGTTCAGCTACCGAGTGACACCGAAAAAGCTAAAGAGTCTCGAGCAAATTAAACCTACATGTAGTTTCCAACATGCTTCATCGTACATAACAGCAATAACTGAAATTGAAATTTCGTGGTAAGGCATATCCAAGCAAATATTGCACGTTAGAAATCCGGCAGCTAATTAAATTAGGCGAAACTAAACAAAACAAACATAAGGAAAAAAGATAACTCATTTTCTCACAGAAAAAAGTCCTGATTTGTTTCAAGTTTTTTTCGGCAGCTAATCCCAACCTTAAGTTGGCTTGTCAGTGCATTGTCCGTGATTTGCGATCAGAGCACCATTTTCTATACAAGACAAAATTGTAGTTTCAGTTTTTACATATGATTTACCATTTGTAGATGCATATGTATTTTGAATAAATTTCTGCTAACTGTTAATGACCTCACATAACATTATTTCAGTTTCTTAGAATGTTTATTCAGTGGATGAATCCATGGTATGAGATTTGCATCCGCTTTTAAACGGATAGAAAGGAACAAGATTTAACGCTTGAAGTAAAAGCTCTCCGTAGGATTGAGACCACATTACTCTTAGCGTGTTCCTTTACTGCATTGGTTTGTTCTTTTTTATACAAAACACAGTTTCGGCGTCTTCCCCCCCCCCCCCCCCCTCCTTAAAAAAATGAGGCAAAGTTGAGGCTTTATAATTTGGTTGATATGGTCTCTTAAAATTGCTTTAGAAGTTATTGCACCGCCTTTGCTCTGCAAAACACATTAAGGACAGGCTAATTAAATTACGGAGTGCATAGGCTTTACCCGGTCTGCGCATACATGGGCCATCCAAGGACTAGGCGTAGCGTGTCTGAATGATGAGGTTAAATTCCAATCAATTTTGTTTCCTTCTTCTGTTCATGTTATGGATTGTCTGTCTCATTATCACCTTTTTACAAAACAAAAACAAAAACAAAAATCTGAACAATAGACACACAAAGAAGCAAATGCTTTTCCACTTGAGGGATTGATAGAGCAATTGCGATTATTTACTTTACTGCTGCATATTTTGCCACCGCTGAATATGAGCTGATAACGGCAACTAAAATAATCGTCCAAGAAACACCATGTGTTAGCGAGCGATTGGAATCTCAATTGCAAAAACCAATCACACTGCCTCGGTGATTATCAACGTAGGACATTCATATAAATACCCTGACAGTTTTCAATTGAAAACAAAGCAAAGCATGTTAGAATTAGATATCGTTTCTGTACCAGGGTTTGTATTGTTTTCTGTTGATTTAACAGCCGGATAACCAATAGTCAGAAGCAGAAATTTCAGTTTGATTTGCATGGGAAAACTGGAAATAATATTGAATCTATACAAAATGCTGTGTTATGGAAAACCTTATCCTTTTATAAAGCCTTCATCTGTGTACGAGGCGATAGTAATCTACCAATCATCCACCTGTGCGTAATTTTGACAATCTGACACTGGAGATGCTATAACGAATCTACGAGCTAAAAGGCTAAGTTGCTTTTAGGCCAAAAGGGGAAAAGATTCGGACTCGAGCTGTTTATAGTCTCACTTCGCAGTAAGTGAGACTTGCATCAAATCACTTTACATTGTTATGTAGGACCTAAGTAAAGCAGTCTGACTAAGCAATATTTCGAGAAAAACTAAAGCTAGACATCGTTTTGGGAACGAAATAAGAAATGATAGTTCAGAGAAAACCTTTGTTTATAAATTTGAATACGAACACTAAAAGAGGACTGACTGGTTAGTTTGCAATGGTTAGGGATTAGGGAAATTTTTCAAGACACTCTCATTGAATCATGATTAACAGCAGCCACATAAGTCATGTAACGGCAGATAAAAATAATGTCAAAACGCTGCATGAAAGGGATTACGATTTACCATTTCACCGAGAGGGTGACGTTGATAGCTCAAGATCAATTCACTTTACCTCTTCGCAACCAAGATGAGTTTGGGATTTTTTTCGTTGAAAAAGTCGCATGTATAGTTATTAGCCAATTGCAGAGTGTAAGCCAACTGCCGCAAACTTTTTCAAAATCAAACAACAACATATCCTTTCCACTAGGTTTTCGATCAGACTAAACATTTAAGGAAGGGATTTGTTGCTGTTTGAGTTTGAAAAACTTTGCGGCAGTTGTCTCACACTCTGCAATTGGCTAATAATTATACACGCGACTTTTTCAACAGAAAAAAACAAAAAACAAAATAAAAAAAGCAAAAAAACATAAATATGTATTTATTAATTGAAATCTAATAGACAAATATTTGGCTTTTTAAGACCATATTTATGCGCCACAATCATGGTTCGGATACATCCACTTTAATAATTACACGCAAGGATGACAGGTACCCTTTTCGTGCGACTGAAGTGGATAGTATTTCAATTTTATTGTGGAAAATTACCTATTTAACCATTATTGTATGTAACTTTCATAAGCGCCGCTGGTCAAGTGAAAATTACGAAGTTTTCTTTGGAAACAAGAGGCCAAGGCGTTTTATTGCAATGCTAAATATGCGAGAATTTCCCATTAGTAGGTTTATGACTGAAGGCATCGCAGCCGTCGGATGACGTCAGTAAAAGAAGTAGCCATGATTCTCAAATCCTTGAGTCTGTCTTAATTTTTCGTTTTCACGTTTTCGTCTGTCTCCTTGACCTAATAATCCTCGTTTTGTCGGGATTAAAATGAAATATTTTATTTCCCTTTGATACCACTAAGGTAATGTTTAACATCCTTGTTCTACGTCCTTCAATCGCTATCCGCGGTCAGCTTGGCTAATTTTTAGTCTCTCAAGAAATATATTCGTAAAACGCCACTTAAATAGCGGAGGAGTTAAAATTCCAATTGTTTCAATTGTCTAAGTAAAAAAAATTTTTTTTTTTGGTCTTTTATTTAGGGGTGCCAAAAAAGGAAATATATTATGATTAGATGAAGGTTTAACCTGAAAAGGACACCTACTGTGTTGAACACTCTTTGTTTTTTTTAATCATCATTCATTACACATCTCTCAGTGCCGATGTCATTAACACAAATACGTCAGTGTGTAGAATTAAAAAAAAAAAAAACCGAAAAAAAAAAAACAGTGGTGCGACTCATTGACTTGTAGTCCGCTATTTCAAATTAAGACAATAGCAAATTTGAAAACTATTTTTTTGGTGTTAAGGGGCAGTTAAATGAAAAAAGTACCCAGGGTGAGAACAATTTTTTGTTCCTTTATAACGAACACACACACACACACACACACAAAACAAAAAAACCAAAAAAACATCCGCTTTGAGCAATTTTTAATTCATAGCCACCTGCCCCTTCATAGTAGTTTCCGTGACACTTTCGTATATGAGAAATAATTATTCTTGTCATGTCTTGGTAATGTCTAAATTTATAAAGGAAATACAGACCCAGCTAATCGATTTAGTACCAACAAACCCAAGGAATAACGTGTTAGAAACTCGCGCCTAGTTTGGTCTCTGCTTTATTCCTTGTTCGCTTAAGATCTAACGTACCACTGAGTCTGAAGTCTGTCCAAAGCTATTGAAGAAAGACCAATACCTTCATCATTGTTTCACGAGACGGTGAACCCAAAAATGCCGAATACGTATCTGAAAGTACGAAAGAAAACTCTAGCCAAATTGTTCAGGAGAATGGTTTTTCTTGCACTAATGGTTGGTGAGTATGAAAAACTCATCTGGTAACCTTTAAGTATGTAAACTTTTTAAGAAGACTCGATGTATTAAATAAGCTATTGGTTGTATGTTGTACTTTCAGTTTCGCTTTTATTTTTTTCGGAGCTCTTTAAAGCTCTCTTAAAAATTTTTCCTCAGGAATTTGAAAATAATTGCCGTTTTGTCCAGTTCGGAATGGAACCCAGACAAATGCGGTTAAAACAAATAAATTCTACTTCGCCAAACACTGAGGCGCCATTTTTAGTAAGATCGATATCCTAAGCTAACAATGTTTGACAACGGGAGACTTCCTGACGCTCCTCGTGTAACACGAGGCTTTGTTTACATATTTGAAACAAAACTTGGAGCAGCAGACCTCCGATTAATTTTTCCCAAAGTAGGTTATGGGCTTATTTCTCTAAAATACTCTTACTATCGATTTTGCTTCGTTCACTTCCATTTTTACTCATAATTTACAAAAGTAAAAGAGTGAATTTCCTAGGTCTAGTGACCTCCATTAGGAAAAGAAAGCATACAAACTATAAAGGTCTATTTACAATTAAATATTACGATAAAGTTCACCCTAAGGACAAAAGATTACAACACCACTTTTAATCATAAAAGGGTTGACAATAAACTGCCATCGTTTTTCTTTTTCGGTTTGCATCAAACCGAAACTTGCAAACAACTTTAACGTTTCGTTTGCATGAGTTTTGTGAAAAATGTTTATTTTGTCGTTGCCTACTCATTTGACGGATAATCTTCAAGTCTCTCATTTCTCATTTGGTGCATGCCAACAAGGGCTGTTTTGAAGACGTTGGCTAGAAAACACACGGGTCCAAATGGTCCGTGCTCAGTAATACTCCGAAGCCTGGTCCCAGCAGTTTCAATAATAATTTACATGAATTAGCGATGTCAAATAAATCCGTCGCGGGCGCCGCGCCGTTTTTTGTAAAAACTAAAAACTGTTACTTGAGAAGCAAAGATTTTATTTAAGGAGAATTAGTTATCTTGGATTCCAGATGGAGTCGATCACCAAGTAAATTCATTTCTTGACAGCATATACTCTTTTTTTCTGATGGCAGCTCACGTCAGTTGCCGCAAGACCACCACTCGCGATTTCAAAGACGTCAGCGCGTAAATTGAGTTTTGAGTGTAATACGAACGATTTTAACCGCAGTTGCCCCTATATGGTTGACTAGGAAGTCCCACATCTCCATTAGATACCCTATTATCTATGCTGTTGATTCCCTTAGCCCCCCCCCCCCTCCCCCCTTTGTTTCGATATGGTTGTGAATTGGGGAATTATTTCTTTTGGTTTTGTCTCTATTACAGCTGGTATGACCATGCCAATTTCAGCACAAGGTATGTATTGTCTCAGCGAAAAAAAAAAAAGGGCAAATAGAAAATTATAAATGTTCAACATTTTTCAACCAGTTACAACCAGTTAACCACTGCAGTCACAATGACTTATCTGTTGCTAAATAAATATTAACAAGCGACCTATTCAAAAGAATCGCCAATATGTTATTGCTTGTAATTATCCAAAAGAGAGGGAAAAGCAAAGAAAAAACATCAAACTCAAAGCGGGACCCATCCTAAACAATTAAGAAAAACTTCAGAAAAAAAGAAAAAAAATAAAGTTTCTAAACATCCTGATAATCTTTTCTTTTTTTTTTTTTAATTTATTCTTCTATACAAACTCTCGATACCAACCACTCACTACTTCGTTCAACGAGAGAAAGTTAGAAGTGAGAAGTGAGAAGTGGAAACTGACACAAAAAAAAAACCAAACAAACAAGCAAAAACAAAAACAAAAACCAAAATAAAAACAAAAACAGAAACACACTCACACCCACAGCCACACAAACGGAAACCGAAACTACAATGCGTTATTTACCGCTAGGGAAAAGAAGGTGGGATTGAATTCGAGCACTGAAAGGATATTCGAACAGTAAAAAGGTAGACAAATCAAGCGGAAAACAAAAAAACAAAAAAAACAAAACCAAAACAAAAAAAACAGCAACAGCACTTAATAGTCTCTAATTAATGTTTACGTATCTAACGCAGATGGGCATTGCTCCCGCCCTAATGATACACTCGGACCTTTGGAGCTGAACCCTCCAGGCTGTCAGCAGCATGTTCAAGAAACGCTTCAGTACTGGCATAGGATGAAATGTGGCAATGAGACACCTACATCTATTGACAAAATCTGTTGTAGCTCTTGGTGCGAGCAGTTGACTTCTTGTTTCAGTCAGGAGCGTTCTTGGAAAGAAGACTGTGTTAGAATGTGGAGGTGCAGGAAAAATGAAAAACCTCGCGAACAGTTTTCTATTATATTGACAAATAAAACAGACTCGTCGTATTTGGGCAGAATAAAAGTGAAACAGTGCTGGGCGAGGAAACCGAAATTTCCTGCCATTAAGCTAACACCATCAAGCAAAGTACGTGTATTTTATTTTCTTGTAACATTTTTGGTGCCTATTGCCATTGGTCCTTTCATTTCACCCCATAGAGTGTAGAAACCAATCCCCCTCCTAGCCCCAGTTCGCGCAACTATCGATAGAAATTCCACGTTCGCGCGGATCATACAAATGAGAGATGTGAGTTCGAGTTGGAATGTTATGGCGAGTAAGTTATTTCTTATGTGATTGATATTTCCTATTTTATTCGTATTTCCTACGTAACTTCCAGTCTTGTAATCAGTTGTTCCATTCTTAATGTATTGTGTTCGTAATACTTTCCTTAGAAACCACTTGCAATGACATGTAGATAGAAGCCTTCGACGTCAAGAAATTAAACTCCTCTCAAGTTTATTGCTGGTGCCTTGATTAAAGAAAGCTTTTCCTCGGACTGTGTAACCCATGAATTTATCAATTACTTTAAGAGTTAGGCTACTGAAGGTTATATTTAAACCAACTACTGATACCTTATTAAGACTTTTTTTCGCCTTATCAGTTTTCAAACAAGAAACTTGTTGACACTATCCTAAAAGAAGTGATCGGCTCTTCTGACAATAACATAAATCAAGAAAAGATGGAACGCACTTTCCTCACTGTCACTGATTTGGAGGAGTTCATTGGGAATTATGCTCAAAGTCACCTTAATCAAACCGTACCTAAGATTGACATCCGTACTGAACATGCAGGTGAGTAGATCTTAAAAGTTTATTTGGAAGTTTTCTTGCTTTCTCATTCGGAGTTCAGGATGAATACATGCATAATTCGTGGCAGATTTTAGAAACACTTGCTAACGCTACCACTTTTTCGACGTTTTGGGTATAAGCTTTGTCTGTAACAACCCTCCATCCAATCATTTTCGCGACACACGAGACGTGTTAGACCTATTTTAAGGCAGTTTATAGGAGCGAATTCCTATTGCTCATCAGTTGTCTTCAATTCCAAGAATTCTCTCTATTTTATATATGTTCTTCAATATCGTCAAAGCTATGAATAAGTTATAAAGGAGTGAAAAAAATGAATAAATTAATTAAGAAAATAAAAATTAGAAACCATTCGAATTCACTGCAGTGATATGTTTTTTTTTTAATTTAAAAATGGTGACCAGCACTTTATCTGACAATTGAACAGACAACGCTTCTTTGACTGATGATCCTTGCAAACTACTTGCATTTACTACTTCTAAGTAATGGTTCTTCAGCCTTTTAATCCTAAAACTCTTGAGGACGATAACTTGTGACTACAATGAAAGCATCCATATTCATTTTTTCCCTCACTTAAAATAAGTCGCTGTTTTGAAATTAGATATTTTGGTCAGGAAGATTTTCCACGAAAATGAGACTGGAGTACAACTTGAGGATGATAAAGGAGAAAACTATGTCAGCCTACCTGTTACAGGCTTCGATAAAGGTTGGAGAGCTATATGTTTTCCTTTTTTTTTTAGCATAGAAGATGATATATTTTTGTCGTATTATTCAAATTATTCTAACGATTATCAGTGTTATTGGGGGCCGAGTTTTAAGCACTAGAGAAAATTGAAACTAAATGGCTGATACCTTGATCTGGCTGTTTTGGTTTCCTTTTATTACTTTATGTCTTCTTTGGTTGAAATATTTCATTCTCATTACAAATTTGGGCATACCAATGAAATGTGCCAATAAACTCGCAGGGTCTTCAAGCCGTTGTAACTTATCCTTTTTCTCAATATTCTTGAAGTATTAAAATTGTTTCCATTATTACATCTTAGGATCAGTTGTACTTTGTGTCATTTATAAAGATCTCCATAAAGTATTCTTAAAAAACCAGACCGACTCTGTTCCTGTCAATAATTTCAGGTTTGCTAAAAACTTAGTATTTCATTTAGTATCTTTTATAAAAATTTATCTATATTTGGTGTGCTAATAACCTACGAAGGGAATGAAGATGAGAGAGATTTCCTCGACTTAAATTTGAATTACTTCTTGTTTGTTTTTTGTTTGTTTACTTCATCTTGATTCTGCTCTGCTATCTTTTTTATGAATTTCTCTTTTTGTCTTTTGACGGTCTGTTTGTTTATTTGATTTTTTTTTGTTTTTTGTTTATTTTTTTGTCTTTTTAATTTTTTTAATTGTTTGTTTGTCTTTTTGGAATTCAACAGTAATATCTTGTCCGCAACGATATGGCCGAGGAACAACATTTTCTGGAAGAATGTTACGTTGAGATTTAGAAACCTAGCGGTAAGTTATAACTAATAAAGAGAGAACTGCATCTGAATTGGTAACTCTGTAAATTAGTTTGGACAGCGATGATGTTTCTCGAAAATTGAGATTAAATTTTGGGAATCAGCACTTCCTTTTGCATCCCTCTGTTCCATTTTGGTCACACTATATTTGTTTTTTTTTTTTTTGTTTTTTTTGTTTTGTTCTTGTTGTTGTATACTACTGCTTCCGTTTTTTTTTTCTCTTCCTTTTGGGTGTGTGTTTTTGTTTGACTTTTGTTGTTGCGTTTCTTTTTTTCTTTTGTTTTGATTTGATTTGATTTACTATTTCTGTTATTATTTTTAATGTCATTATTATCATCATAACTATTATTTTTATTATTATCAACACTACTATTATCATTAATATTGTCATTTTATTGCGTCAAAGTCTTATTTTTTTCAGGGAGTCTCTTTAAAGACAGAGGAACTAGACTAGAAATGTATCTAAAGGGATGGGGAGGGGTCTGATTAGCCAGCGAGTCGCTGTACCACGTAACAATAACAATACTTTACGGTTTTAGGATGCACCGAACAGAAGCTGCGTGTTTTGGAACACTACAAAAAACAGGTAAACAGCTTCGAATGAATTGATGACATCGTTCACTTTAAATTATCAATTTGCATAAGGAGTTTGCTTTTGTGCACTGGTACATCACATTGTGTGGTCACCTCTTACTCCTCCTTTTTCTCCTTCTCAGGCTTCCACGTGCTCAGCAGTCTATAAGGCCGGCAGTTGCGATTGTTTTGTTTGTTTTGTTTTTCCCTGACTGTTTTATGTTGTCATTCTAGTTGGTCAGGAAAAGGATGTCTCTTAACATCGACCAACGAATCTTACACCGAGTGCAGCTGCAATCATTTGACTCACTTTGCAGTTCTTATGCAGTTTGTCAAGGGGACTAGCAGTAATGTTTTAACTAAGGTAGGAATATTGCTAAGCATGCATGCATTGATTTCAGAAGGAACTAAGACTAGACCGCATTGGCGTAGCACTTTTTCCTACATCTGCACAGTCCAGGTAGATGGTGGGTAGCCCTCTTCCGTTACATGCATTGAGTCACTGTTTTTGTATTCATTTTTAAGACTGACGAAAAAGCGCTGGAAATTCTTACAAACGTGGGCTTGTCTTTTTCTCTGGTTGGAATCACTTTAACGATCATCAGTTATACTGTTCTTACGTAAGTACATGACATAGTTCCACGCAAGCATTCCAAAGCAACAAGAAATTATATCAGTTTAAATGTGTAAAGTTTAGATTCCTTTGAGCAGCCAAGTCAAATCATAAAGATATAACCAGGCTTTCTATAAAATGAGGATAGAACTCATGTAGAATAAAATCGGTTGTTTATTTTTGATCAGAGACATGAGGGGACCTTTATCTCAGACACGAGTGAGTCTAGTCGCTTCACTTGGTGCAGGTCAAATTATCTTCCTAGCCGGAATTGGTGCTGTTGAGAACAAGGTGAGATATTGTATCAAACGAGAAGAGAAGAATCTCTTTCGGTAAATCGTAACGACATTAATCCAAATCTTAACTCAACGTTTTCATTCCTGTGTAGTCTACCTGTGTTATAGTAGCAGCTTTGGTACAATATTTCCTAATGGCCGCTTTCTGCTGGATGTTGATCGAGGGAGTTTATCTCTACCTGTTTGTTGTCAAAGTTTACAACATCAACGACAAGATGAAGGTTTCACATGGATTTTCATGGGGTAACTATGAATTAAAAACCCACTCACTCTTTGATAATCTATGGGAAAGTGAAACATGAATTACCATGAACATCACCATTTCGAATCCACAGGTCTACCCGCCGTCGTTGTTTCCATATCGCTGGGCATTGCAGCAGGAACCGGACCGGGGATTAAAAGCTATGTCAGCGAAACTTTGTACGAGGGAATGATTTTTTTCTTCTGTGATTCCCCTGTCGCTAATCCTCGTTTTCTGTTGTATTTTACTGTTAGTTTGTTTTTTTTGTTTTGGTTTAATCGATTTATTGTTGCTGTTTTTGTTTTTTGTTGTTGTTGTTGTTTTGTTATTTCTTTGTTGTTTTTTTCTTACTTGTCATCAAACCCGACATGGAGGGTACTGTGTACATGCATCCGCAAAAAAATAATTAATTAATTGATAATTTATTCAAGTTTCGGATTCTTGATTTTTATTCAGCTGCTGGATGTCATCCTCTAACGGCATGATCTGGATATTTGTTGTATTCGTTGTGCTGATCGAGTTGGTAAGTTGAATTCTTATAATTTTTTCGTTTCCCTCTTTCACGCTTTGCCTTTAGTTATCGTTGCATCGTGAGGATTTTTTTCGCTTGCTGCTTTTTTTTAACCTAGACTCTATTCAAGAGTTGCCAACGAAATCTGAAATATGTATGAAATATAAATTTTGCTTGAAGTGACCTTATTGTAGGGAGATCTCGTCAGCGGTTATCGCGAAAGATTTTCAGGTTGAGTAGTCCTGGTTCGAGTCTCGCCTTGGTTGTTGTTTTGCGTTGTTTGGTGAGTCGAATGACGAGGAGGGGGAAGGGTTAAACTTTTCACGAACATCCAATGAGGCCGCTAGGAGAACTTAGCTCAAGTGCAAACTTCTCTTTCCTTTGTATAGTTAGATTGTTTTTGTTTCGTTTTGTTTTCAGTTAAACACATTGATACTGGTGCGAGTTATCAAGGAGATGACAAACATGCAGCATGCAAAAGACAAAATTAGTGAACAAATAAGGTAAGTATTTCAGCGGCGCCAGTGGTAGTTTTATATAAGCTATTAGCCTCTTACTTTGCTGTCTTATACGAATAATGTCAACTCACAACTGTGGTAAAAACAAACTATCTTGATTATAATTTTTTTATCCGTGATTTTATAGACTTGGTGTCAGGGCATGCCTGTTGATGATTCCTTTGCTGGGGATTACATGGCTATTTGGTCTTCTGTCGCCCCTGCACAGAGGGTTTGCGTACATTTTCACAATTTTCAACTCCACTCAGGTAAACTGAATACAACTTTTAGTGAAAGAAATCCGTGCTCATACAGTATCAACGTGAACGGGCAGTTGGTGGATTCACCACTGAATTATATTTCTGTGTGAAAAATGAATCTTGACAAACATAAAAGTTAGTGCTCAGAGTGCACCTCCTCTCAAGGTACAAGTTCACCCGGCCCATGTCTTTCATGCCAAATGTCAAACAACTTTCGAATTATCCCATTAATACATACTTGTAAAACACACCCTAAGGGGCTGACCAACTTTTAACAGTTACAGCGTTCTTTAGTAAACAGTGTTGAACCCTTTAGCTTCCAAGATATTATTATTATTATTATTATTATTATTATTATTAGTAATTCTCCTTACTGTCTCCTCTACAATTCGTCTAATTTTACTTCCGAGAATTTGGTATTGGATCAGCTAATAATCCCCTAATTGATACTTTCTTGGTTCTCATCACTTGTCTTCTTGATTTTGTATTGTTATTGTAAGGAGAAATTCTCTCTTGGTCACTCATGGGAATTAAAGGGTAAGAAGGGGTAAGATTTGTCCATAAAAACAACGACCCTCTTCAAAATCATGTGATGAAGAGAGCGCCAGTTTTCCAGTGTAAAACGAAACCTTAATATAACAAAACATATATTATTTTCTATCAGTGGTCACAATTTTGCTTATTGAAACAGAGTCGATTTAGGACATGACAAGAGAACACCAACGGCCTCATAATCAAATACCTGAGCTGATAAAAGTTTTCTTGATCGAGTTATATTCCTCTCCATATTCCTGAATCGTGTGAAAAGTACCGCGTAAAAGCAAGAAGTTGTACTTTCCCTTCTTTACAAGTTTACCAGGTGGTAAACTTAGTGTAATACGGAGGCAAAGAAGAGAACTTGTGATTAATAGCAATAAAGGTTTGGACATTTCTGCTGCCCAGCAACATTTAATACTGTGAGGTTTAGGGTTAGGGGAGCTTGTATGAAAGTACTTCGAATCTAAAAAGGCGTTTATGTTATTTCCCGCGTTGTGATTTCACAGGGCTTCTTAATATTCCTCCTTCACTGCGTGAAAAACTCAGAGGTATGTTATTAAATTTTATTTTGAAGTCTCTTTGTAAGCATTAGATTTTTGCTCAGATTTTTACCTGGCAAGGCTTCCACTTTGAAATGAGAAATTAAATTCGATGGTTGTATATATGCGAAGCTCATAGAGTGGTACAATTCTTGAGATCGTTATGATATCATCTCATTCATGCAGATTAGATCTCGCTTCAAAGGAAGGATCAATGGTGTCACCCCAACTACAGATGAAGTAATAGGCATTAAACGAGCTGCGCAAGTAAATGAAACTATCAGCGTGATATTGTCAAGGAAATAGAATGTCCAGCCTCGCAATAACCATGAAAGTGGCATTGAAATCTGTGAAATCTGAGTCGTCATCGCAGTGTTGTTTTTTAGCTTAGATCTGTGTATATCTTAAGTTAAGTTCGTTCAGAAAATGTGAGAGCAGGTGAAGATAACCAGCTTCAGAAGGCTCTTACAGCTTTGTATCGGTCCGAAAAGTAATAAAAGAACGACTCAAGTAATCGGGATTTAAGTTCTCCTTCTTTGTGGAAAAAAGAGCATTGGATACAGTTGTGTTAGGAAGGTCTAATCCAAGACATCAGTTTACAGAATAATGAAATTATCATAAGCCACAATAAATTGTACGGCCCTTATCGAAAGAAAAAAAGTATTATACCAGTGGTAATCAAGATATTATTACTCTTAACTGGGGCAAGGATTAAAAAAACAAAACAAAACAAAACAAAACAAAACAAAACTATTAGTATTTTTTTTTCTCTCGGCAGTCTCGTTTTTACCTGTGTAATTGTTTCAGAATTTTTCCCCTTGGAGTGGCGGTTGAGAAATATCTCCTCGTTAACTCTAAGAGTCTCCATTCTGATAAGTCCATTTCTCCTAAAACACGCACCCTAGCTTAAGAGTTGAGCATCGGACTCTGAATTTTTGAGAATGGAACTTAATTCATTCAAAAAAGCTCTCTCAATTTGCCATATGTCCAAAAAAAAAAAACTTTATTCACTTCCTCATTTAAAAGTGCATAATTAATATAATTTTAATGAGGAGCGTTTAATGTCTGGATCGAATCTTTTCGTGGAGCAACAGAAAAAATTGTATAATAAGCCTTGGTATTTATTTTTCTTCGCTTCTAATCATTTGAAGTTGCCCGAAGTTGAAGGGCATTCAGAAGGAAAAAACTGCCCGGCAAAAAAGAAATGTTATTTAACACTGATCCATACTGAAGCATAATTAAAATACAGATATTCCTGCAACACAGTGAAAAGTTATGGGGAATTGTATATATTTTATTGGCAAACTTGATTACCCTGATAACTGACACTAGGTTAATCGAGTGTTTGCATAATATGACTTCATTTTTCGCTTTTTCACGGCGACGCTTTTCAGCCGGGGATGTTTGGGATGCCATTCTCCTCCAGCTTGTCCTTGCGGGTGTTACAAGCATTTGAAGATTTTGGTATGTGGTTGCTTAATCCGTGTTTCAACTTTACTCTTACAAATTGGTACTCACATACATGCAATACACCGTAAATAAATTACTGACGGTTAGAAACTAAATTAGGCAAGTAGAAATTATCATTCCGTTCCTTTTGTGTTATATTTCGAGGAAAGCAATTTGTATATCCACACGGTTGATGTTGAAAAAAGCTTAAAGACACCGGCTCTTTCTCACAATGAAATCAATACTAACCTAGAACAAGCTTACATTGTGTTTGCCCGCGTACTTACTGAGCTGATGAGGTTTGCAAATATCTTTCACATGTGAAATCGAATATTTAAAACGTAAAGGTGTTAACTGGGGAAAAGAAAAAGAAAGTGGACGACCATATAAAACCGTTTATGTGAATGCTTGATAAAAAACACATATTAATTGATGAATTTATGAAATACCCAGCCCATCCAAGCTATGGCGAATTTAATACCCATAGGAAGCCAAACAATTTTGACAAACCTGCTACACGCAAGTTTTGAGGCAAATGTGCCTAATGAGGTTTCTGATATCTCTTCCCCACAAGTGACATAATATTAACGGTGGTATCAATTTTTTTTGGATCCGCGATGCAACTGGGTCAAAACAGGGTATGAAACATTTTCTTCCGAGGCGACTTTGAATCAAAAATACAAAAAAAAAGAAAAATTGAAACATGGATATTTAAGCGATAAGCTGCAATATAAAAATGGTTCAATTTAATACTTCAGTTCCCCTTTAACTATTTACTTTGTTTCGTGATTGCCTTGTTTATGCCTTCTCTCCACGTCCCCAGCCCCATTAATAACCAACCGAAAAAAAAAATCTTTATATCTCTAAGAACAATTTAAATACTTTTTGTGTCGAAATAGATTCGGGAGTAAATTGATAAACTTCATCTTCAACTTGCTGATTTTGGTTTTATTTGCAACATATATGATGTCGATTTCTGAGTACCTAAAAAATTAAGAAGTGCCATAGTAACGAAAATCACAAGTAGGTGTTCCAGATATGTGGTAAATGTAAAAAGCACCACAGTTTCTCACACTGATGTATTGTGACCATAAACATCAGTTTGAACTTCAGTGAAAGCAGGCCAGTCTACTGACCTGACCACTGATCATATGTGACCATTATTAAGGACGAGACTAAGTGCGAAGTCGTTACGTTCTCGTAGGTATAACGAATAAAGTGCCGTGGTGGTGGAAAAGAAAGAAAATTTCTCGAAATTCAGTGTGGGAGAGTGAAAAATTATTTTGGGGGGAGAGGCATCCAGCTAGGTAGTGGCGGCAAAGAAAAGAGAAAAGAAAAACTGTTCGATTTGCGCAAGAAAGCTACAGTTATCAAGCAGATCCAACTAGCTGCCTATGCTGAAGACCGCAAAAGCTGTTTGCGGAGAAATTCCAAACAAGTCAGGGCAAATTTCTGGTTGCTAAAATTTTCGATGCTTAGATACACAACCTCTGTAGCTTTCCAAAATTTTCATTCGTAGTTCTCATGCAGCCTCTGCCAAACCTGGCCTCAGTTTCTTATTGTTATCATTAATCGTTGCTGTTTTCTTTCTGATTCGTAGCAAGAGCTTACTGCAATTTGCGAAACGATCTGAACGAAACCTTTACCTGCGAAATGAGCTCAAATCTGCAATTAGCAAAATTGCGAATTGAAAAGCTACTTAGCATATAACATTTGAAACATAAACTGACCATTCTTCTGATTTCATTCCATCTTTGAATATTTTTTTTTGTTGTAAATAAGGGCAATGGCATGAGATAGCTGCTATGTTTTCCTGCTGAGGAGGAATGTGTGACATTTCTAGTTCAAATAAAATGTCATGTCACGCATTCGAATTATCCATCGTAAACGCTCAAGTGAACATTTTGCAAAGTACACCAGGAAGATTTTCCTTTCCTTCTTTCTCAAGTTTTTATGATTTGAAAGGCTATAAATGTAATCCACGCTGGTAGTGAACTGACCGATTCATCCTGGCCGTTGGTGGCCTTAAGTTGTTTACAATTCTACTGTTGTAAATTACAGATCTACATAATTTCCATTTCAAAAATTATAGAGTTTGAGTTCATTAAACAATCCACAGGCGTCAATTTCGTTTGAAAAACTATGATTTCGTTTCGTAAGCGACAGAAAGCCTTCGCTTCGGTTAAATAATGACATCGAAACAAGTGAGGTATGAACGAGAACTCTTGAATGTTAGAAAAGTGGTAAGTCCAAGCATGAAACATTTTTGGTACTGGAAATTTTCCCTCAGTTGTTTGTAATTTCTCCTCCAACAGTTTTTTTGCAGTCTTTGGCACAAGAGGCAATTTTGATCTGCTTCATTACTGCAGCTTTCTTTCATAAATCAAACAGTTCTGCATTGTTTTGTTCCTTTGCCGCCATCTCTTCACGTGATGCCTCTCTCGCAAATAATTTTTTTAGGGCCTGTTTACATGTAGGTGAGGACTCGACCCCAGGTGGGTGAGGTAACCCGCTTAGCCGTGGTCGAAAAATAAAACGCGTTTACCTAGAGTCTTACAACCCCGGGTTGCTGGGGTGAGGTTTCTTAAGGTTGTTGTTGCGCTTGCAATTAGGGAGTTTGAATATAGGCCTCCTAAGCTCAAGCCTCGAGAAAAACGAAAGATTCATTCTTGGACACGTATGTATTTATTCATGAAAGCGTCACACGTTGTGTGACGCGGTGTTAGGCTACGCGAGGAACCGTTGACTTAATACGTCAAAAGGAATAGTTTGAAATATAGTCGATTTACAGCGCTTAATATTCCAAAATGTGAACATTTTACACTCCTTGTCTGTCCGTTACGGTTTGTAACCTGGGGTCCCCCACCTCCATTTGAACAGGCTCTTATTCTCCCACTTAGCCAGCAAAGCAGGCGTAATTTAGGCTGGAGAGTGCTAAATAATTTCATAACGAATATTATGGTCGCCATCTTTGATTTTAATGGCAGCGGAAGGCTGGGGAGAGGAAAAATTTATACCAAGGGGGCGGTCGACGGTCAAAAATAAGGAGATGGGTGGGGGTAGGGGAGTGAAGATTACGCCTGCCTGAAGTCATTGTTATTTTGCCAGACTCCGTTCGCCCAAGAATGGAGTTCCTGATTAGTTCGATTAAGCCGCAGCTGTCAATCTGGAGACATACATACCTCCAAATAATTTAAACTTGTCAAGTCCCCATATTTAACACCACTGTGAAACATAAAAGTTGAAATTCGGTAGTGCACTGCAGAGGCTTTGGCGTTTCTTAAGCGTGCTAGCGTTGCTGTCGCTAAAGCAAGAGAGTTTATCTCTGGGCCGCACTCTTTGGAAGCATTCTGCGATAAACCACTTGCACCTCAAACGCAGTCAAACCAGAGGGGACAGAAAATTCTCACCATTTTCATGAAAATTTTCTTCGAGAAACTAGCGAGCTCGTCCGGATTACGTGCCTCCAATATGCATCTAGATTTCAAGTAATACAGTAAATGGTTTGAACCCGTAGGTAACATGTAATAGTGTAGTTTGACTGACAACAACCTTTCACTTGACTTTGATGATGACTTCCGCTCAGGTTGTCGAAACGTCATTCACCACTACCGACAACAGTCCTTCTCAGAGCTACACTCACCCGGACGATCAAATTACACTATTAGATTTCAAGTATTCGTCAAACTCGAGCGACACTAGCTTGAAGGTTCCCTTATATAGTTCAGGCTTAATTCCTTCGTGCATTAAAGCGCATTCATCGCTTCTCTCCATTGTTTGGTAGCAACGTTCTTCACCAATGTTTTTTTTTGGGGGAATCTCTGGGAATTCTCACAGTCTCGTTTCCAGACGGACTCATGAACACGATTTTCACACCATCATTTGGAAGATCTTCCACATTCACATGACTAAGCATCTCGCTTTCCTGTAGCAACAAGGCAGACGAGGTGTTCACTGCGTTTTCAAAGGCGACAGACTTTTTCGATCGCATGAGAGGAGGAACTTCCTTCAACGGAGTCATGCCAATCGGGGAACGAACACGTACAGCTTTTGATTTCTTCCACGGTGGATTAGCTTTATCTGGCGAGTCAAGGTTTCTTTTGCTAGTTTCCACTGGAGTAGACGCAACTATCTTGCACCAAGGAAAATCCAACTTGATGAACAATTTCGCTCAAAACAACACCAAAGCACTCCTTCCGTTTCGAAAATATTTGAAAATATTTTCTGACGAAGAGTGGCTTTGCTTGGGGAGATTTCCGAACTGAATTTTGATGGAAACTCCACAAAGCCTACAGTTGTCACCCGCACTCTTATCGAACATTACGCATTATATGTAGCTGGATATGACGGCTCGGCTCCAAGTGTGTTTGTTTTTGCCGGAAGTCATTGTCAAAGAATTTCAAATAAACTCATTTTTATTGGTTACCTTCTTATTTCCGAAAATGCAGTGAAACGCAACTAATCAGGAGGTGTAGGGCATTTTAACGGCCTCTTCGGGCAGACGTCTTTTCTCCCCTCTACCGAACCCCACCGCCACCGTGCACTCTAACTGCAAATAAAAAATGGCCGGTCGAACAAACGATCGCGAGTTTTTAGCGTAAGATCGCACCAACAAGACGCCTGCACTGCAGGCTATCTCCCACTATGAAATTCGAGAAATTTTCGATCGTTTTCTCTGCCACTGCTCTTTAATCTTTATACCGATGAAAGCGACTTCGCACTTAGCCTCGTCCTCAGGCCGTCATTTCGGTACCAGATCACTGAACTGCGAGGAATTGTAGAACAGATGATAACCGTTAGTACAACCGGGATGACATGTGGATAAAAACATGCTGGATGAATAATAGACGTCTCTAGTGAATATAGGACTTTATGTCATTGATTCATTGTGGATGGATCGATTGAGACGAGAGTCTTCGAGTGAGATCAAGAGTCTTCGAGTGAGATCAAGAAGGATGAACAAAATACCTTCTGGTTTCGCAAGCATAATTTATGTTGCGACGTTCCTTCTCGGTAAGAATTATCAAACGCCGATTAATATTATTATTATTTCGATTGACCCAACGTAGAGGCAACTATCAGTCTAAAGTTTGTTGAATACCTTATGGTTTCGCAAGCAATTTTCGTGTGGCGACGTTCCTACTTGGTAAGAATTATCAAACGCTGATTGATATCATCATCATTTCGATTGACCCGACGTAGAGGTAACTGTCAGTTTAAAGTTTTTTCATCGTTTGTTGGAACGTCAAACGAAAAAAGGGAGTTTACTTTCCAATTTCCTCTGTCAAATCGTGTCAAATACTGACAAAAACTACACTCTTAATTTGAAACTCCTTTAAGTACAAAATGAAATATGCAAATATGTAGGAACATTTGTGTTTTTATAGATCAGTACTACCCTTAAAAGTCAATTAATAACGAAAGGTAGAGTCATAATATTTGAAAGAAACCATTAGTTTTTAACTTAAGTTATGCTAACGATCAAGGCGGACATCCTACCGAAGCGGAACTTGCCGTAGTTTATCACGTCAAAAACACCTCTACAAAGATGATACAACGCTACTTAAATGTCGTTTAAAAGTGTACTCAGTTGAACGCCATTATTATTCCACGAGACGTGGGAAGGTTTTCAGAAAGGCAAGGCTACATTTCCTTAGGGTGACGAGATCTATTTGAACCACACCATTTCGTTATTTTAGAAGCAGACGGTATAATTTTCGTTCGCTTTTCAGAACAACAAGGTACTGTAGGAAAGCGCCGTGAACTGCGTCAACCAGATGTCAGTCGAGCTTCTAAATGTCAGCTAAAAAATTTGCAACTTAGCAAAAGGTACAGTCTAACAGTGCTTTAGGTCGAAAGGATTTCCTCATGATGATTGCAAAAAAAAAAGAGGCTTGGAAACAAGACCCATTTTTCTCATGGCAATAAACGCATCGAATAAGCTTCATGCTTAAACACGTGGTATCTAAATGCGTGAGGCTTAATTCGAAGCCAAGATGACAATTATATTGGATGTAAAATGTGAAAAACACGTAAATCAAACCGAGATCAGAGGCTTCACGATACTTCAGCGTAGCTCCAAATAAAATCTATCAGACTAACAACTCGTTCCACCGCTACAGCAGTATATAACATTTGCTGTTTCTACATGGTTTGCCAGCTGTTCGCTTTATCAGCCGATTATTTGTCATTTTTTGTTTAATTTGTTTTTTCCTATATAATAATTTCGTTATTCCTATTATGTTTATTGCGTTCGAGAGAACGCATACTCTCCGTGTTGCTTCTTTGTGGATGATGAGCAATTTCATGAGAAAAGATGATATGTAGATGAATTGTTACCAGTTGACCATTCGAAATGAGTTACTACAGATCAGAACTGTGCGCTACGAAACCATCAGATCTTCGTAGGTTTGAATAAATCCTGGATTTTTGTTACGCAGTGACAAAATTCTCATATCTAAGCTAGACTGATGGCTCTTTAGTAGTCAATGATTACTAGTATTATTAGTTGTTATCGGAATCCTTTTGATTTAAGGTAACATTTTTTTCCTTTCTTATCCTGCAGTTGTTCAAAGCGGCTGGGCAATGGCAGAACGAAGTAAGTTCCTCGTTATCAGCTAGCTTGAGCAAAGTTTAAAAAAGATGAATGAATAAGATAAATGTCAAGTGGGTTAATGGACTGGTAACTGTTTAATTCATTCCACTTTGTCCAATAGCCGAGTGTTCATTTACTTTATTTCGCTGCAATGTTTATTTTCCTGCAGATCATGAGTGTGTAACTGCCCCGTTCTTGAAGCATATTTATTGTGGTGATTACAACTGCAAAGGAAGTCTTAACAGTACATGGCACAGGATAAAATGCTCTCTGTTTTCTATCGGCGGTCGCAAAGGTCTATGCCCTAAATGGTGCCATGAAAGAGGGACATCGACTCAGCCTTGCTATCATGCATTTCATAGATTTTCTTCAAATCAAATCTATTTCAACAACCGCGACGAAAAACTCAGATTTAAAGAAGTACCCTGCAGATTTTTCGAGTTTAAAATTAGGTTAAAATGGATGGATCCCAGTAAGCATTTTCCTACACTTTTTTTGTTTGATCCTTTCTACTTTGTTGTTTTATTTCTTCTTCTTCTTTTTCTTCTTCTTCTTTTTCTTCTTCTTCTTTTTCTTCTTCTTCTTCTTCTTCTTATTCTCATCATTATTATTATTATTATTATTGTTGTTGTTATCTTTACAATTATAATTGTTATCATTATAATTGTTATCATTATTATTATTATTATTATTAATATTACTATTATAACTTTTTCGAGATCATGACTATTCTATGATTTTTTCACATTCGGATGCTTAAGGAAAAAAAAAACAGTTCCGAGCCTAAATTCCTTCGCCTTTAGCATGAGTATAATTGTTTAGCGATGCCAGTTATGTACTGTGTTTTTGCAACACCTTATCAGTCAGAAAAGGCAGGAAGGCTGCAAGCTTATGATAGGTGGTACATTTTGCTCACAAAGTAGTCTTTTGCCCAGTGTCTATTGTAATGTTTATATGAACCGGAAGTTTTTGATCCCAGATGTTCTCTAGGAACTAAGGGATGTCCAAATGATGGTGACATCCACTGATGATCACATGTAACATGTCTGTTTTCAACTTTTTTTATTAAATCGATGTTAATCTTATACGTCCTGCGCTAAAGTCTATTCAAAACCTCACATCTGTAAGTTACTCAGAATTCTACAGCAAACAGTGTAATTTGCAACTGAGTAGACGTTGTCAAACCTCTTTAAAATTCCTAATATAAAGTATGCATACCACTTAGCGTCAGTCCTTTTGCTTGATATAATTTTGATTTTACGCTTTTTATCGCCTTAGCTTTTATTGCAAACGCAACTGAAGTAACAGAAGTTACAATTCAACCAACCGTCAATTTAACCATCAATGATGTAAAACAGCTGTTTAAAACTTCAATTCAAAGCATTTGGTCCAACGATTCACGAGGGGGCACATATTCGTCAAAGCATCTAAAACTGGAGGATACTATCTTTGCTGCGTTCATCTTTGAGGGCTTTATATTAAGCACTTCCAGAAACCGGCTGCACGTTACAAATCCCGAATTGATTGATGTCGATGAAGATCTGTGTAAGTGCAAAATAGTCTTTCCTCTTTTTTTTCGGCAGCAATACGTGTACATTAAGAGCCAGCACCACTATCCCTTACATCAGCTAAAAGAAAGGAAAATTCTGATATCTCTTCGAGTGTAGTATCAGAAGCATTAACTGTGGTTTGCAATTCTATAATCTGGGAAATGATAGCATGCAAAATTATAAATTGGAGGAAATGCAACTGAATAAATTCTAGTCATGCGGGTCATTGCCTTTACTGAGCACTCGCATGCAGTTGAACTCTGTAGGCCAGTGAAGTATATGTTGACGCTGTAGCATTCCCATCACAAATTTTGCTTTTTTATCAATATAGACTTTCGACTTAGATGCAATGTCCTCCAGAGAGAAGACTTTCTGTTTAATGGAAACAATCGGGGGAACTTTATTAAGATTCCCTCAGCTAATCTCGATCGAGGTAAAAACCCTTCCTTGTTTTTAGCCAGTTTATTTCAAGACAATTGCCCATAATTTCTTGGTCAAATCTTCAGTGGAAATGGCTTCATTCCGACTTACAGTACCAAATTTGCAAGTTTGTGTGCACTAAATACAATAAGTTCTTGTTTCCTTTTTCCCTTTTTCCCTTTTTCCCTTCATCTTAGTCCAAATCGGTTTCCGTTCTAAAATTTCTCGATTCCTTTTCTTTTCCTTTCTTTTCTCTTTTTTTGGGCGTCATTACAAATGAACCTTTACGCTATCTGAAAATTTTTAAATAATGCACTTTTTCATGATTCAGCTGTCTGTAATTAAAGTATTTCAAAGCCATGGTCGTTTTTCAAAAAAATTACATCTGTCGAAACCGAAGTGAATACATTTCGCATTTGCTTTTCAAACAGACTCCATAGTACTTGGGATCGAAGACTACAATCTTTATAAGCTTTTATCAAACTATTCAGCTGACGCTGAGGGAGACAACGAAACAGAGTATGTATATTTTATTGTAATGAATGAAGAAGAAATAGAAAGAAATTAATTTACTTTTTTGTGATCATTCGATCTGTTTTATTTCAGGATACTTGACAGTGTAATTTTGTCCGCTGTAATAGACCCTCCGCCTAAGGTTCTTAAAGAAAACGTTACATTGGTTTTTAAGAACATGCAGGTATATACGCTACTCTTTCGTTTTATGTTTACCTTTTTTATTGAATTGCCGTTTGCTTGTTTGTTTGTCTGTTTATTTCATGAAAGGGTTACACCAACGATTCATTTATCCCTCATATGGGTGAATATGATGTCATCTTTTCCCTCAATTCAAACTAAGATTAGATGATTAAAGACTATCCAAAGACTTGATTAGAAAATCAGCATTACATCCCATAAGGCTTCCTGAAAATTATTAAATTTCGTCACCTTCAAGCCATCACAGAAGGGTAGGACTATTAGACACTGGCAGCCCTCCTCGATTTTACATCGAAGACTTAAGGAATTTGAATTAAAAAAAAAACAAAACAAATTGGTTTTTGCTGAATAAAAAATTTAGTCCTCATTAATAGACTTCTCCCAGAGACCCTCCTGTTGATAATTACATTTTAACTTGGAGGGTTAGATTAATATTCTATCACTATGACGCCTTACCAGTTAGCTACTAGTAAGGCATCACTGAGGCGAGCGCTGAAGCCTCGCTATATTACCCTTTGAATCACAACACTTGACTCTACTTTTCCTTTAGGTGAATCGTAAAAAAAGAACATGTGTATTCTGGAACTTCTCTAAAGAAAAGTAAGCATCACAGAAACATAAGTTTTATAAACAGCATCAATTCTTCTAGGTTTTCGTCTGAAAGGAAGCTAAAAGTATAAAAAATCACTTTAAAGCAATTAGTACAGTAAATTGAACTCTTTTCAGGTAGAGGAGGGAGGGGGTTTCCAATCGAATGAGTTATTTTAACTCCTTTCTCCTTGTCTTATTCTTCTTAAAGCTTTGGGAGTTGGTCAAGTGAAGGATGTCAAACAAAGATGATATCTAATCACTATACTGAATGTGTTTGCAATCATCTAACCCACTTCGCTGTGCTCATGAAATTCGCCGACAATGCTGACGACAGGAAGGTGAATATTTTTTTCCCTTGTACAAAAAGAAAGTCATGCCGATTTAAAAACGGTACATAGTGGCATTAAAACTATCGCATTTATTTTATTTATTAATATAAACATTTCCTTTGATACAGATAAAATAATTATGACCTTTACGGTTTTTCAATCAGGAAAAAACTCGTTCGCCAGATGAGCACGACAAAATACTGACGCTCCTCACTCGAGTAGGGATGGCTCTATCTCTCACGGGAGTCATACTCACAATTATCAGCTATCTTCAGCTCACGTAAGTACGCTATATTAACACTGATATCTTACTGAATTGTGGGAAATTAACTGTAAGGAAAATAAGTCATCAGATCAGTTCTGGATCGATGTCAGCACAGACCGCTCGTAAGTGAAAAAGAAATCAAACGTTCTGAGATGATCTTTCTTAAAAAATGATATCTCACCAAGGAGTGAAAATAGCTTTAAATTAACGTTAGTGTAAATTAGAAACTTTTTAGTCAGTATTCTTTTATCCATTCGTTATTCACTAATTGATTCATGTAAAAAATGTATTATGTCAGCGTATTTATTCATTCATTTGGTGGATCATTTGCAATTGTCTTTTTCGTGGTTTCTTTTACAATTCATTGACCTTTGTTCTGTTTTTCTCTGACTGCTAAATCAATTTCATTTAGTTGCTATTTATTGGCTTGTTTGTAGAGACAGAAATTCACCTTTATGTCACATACGGGTTAGTCTGACTTCCTGCATTGGAGCAGGACACATTATCTTTTTCGCTGGTATCGACTCCACTGGAAACCAGGTGACTCTTTGAACTCCTACTTTCGTGTTACTCATTTAATGTTGCTGTTCTTGTAATTGTTTGTTTGTTTTTTGTTGTTTGTTTGATTGCTTGTTTTTTTTTTTTTTTATCTGGTCCAGCTTCTCTACGATTTAAAGACTGACTGATCTATCGAGGGATTCTTTTTTCTTGTTTTTTGTTTGTTTGTTTGTTTTCATGTTTTCTATGTTATTGTTTTGCGTTATTCTTTCTGTTTACTTTGGTTTTTGTTTCTTTCTGTTTTTCGGATTGTTATTTCAGCAAATTCCATTTGTCAGGCAAATAATTACAATTTTACGGATTACCTATTTCTTGCAGGCTGCTTGTGTAGCTGTGGCAGCTCTTATGCAGTATTTCCTGATGGCCAGTTTTTGCTGGATGCTTGTCGAGGGGATTTATATCTACTTATTTGTTATAAAGGTTTACAACATTACCGATAAAATGCATCGCTATCATGGCTTTTGCTGGGGTAAGGAGCATTGTCTACAGTCATCGGCTCTGGCAAATGTAATAACACTAGAACTCAATTATTTTTGCTACATGTCACATTTAAACTAGCAGTTTTTTAATATTACTTTCGTCAGGACTGCCTGCAATCATGGTTGCTATATCTCTGGGCATCTCTGCAGGAAATGACGGAATCAAAACTTTTGTCAATGACGAAGAGTAAGCTTAAAGTTTGTTTATTTTATCAACTCCATACAAAATGGTGGAAGCCTGAAGTTATGAACCTGCAAAAAACAAAAAAACAAAAAAACAAAAACGCAAAAAAAGCGGGGGATGTGGGACGATAAAGGAGAAAGAACCTTGGTGCCCTAGTGTCACCTTCCCTTTTCCCTGCCCCCTATAGTTTGTAAACCAGGGCTTTGGGGAATGCAAGGGTTTAATGACAGCCCTTTTAACTAGCCTCCACCCCCCTCCCCCTTACCCACCAGCAACCCCCTTCTTTCAAGCTGTGGATGTCTCCATGTATTAGAGTAGAAGAGGAAGAGTTTGTAAATTGTTATCCAAGATGGCGAAATTTTGCAAAGTAATATAAAGGCAACATGCTGCATTAAAAAGGGGTTTGGATTTAACATTCTGCCGTGAAACACTTTAAATGCTGCTATCGATGTAGAAAACAAATTAAAACTTTGTTCCCCTGTGCCTTTTGTTTTTCTAATTCTAAGCTGCTGGATGTCCTCCTCTACCAATATCATCTGGATATTTGTTTCCCTTGTTGGACTGATCGCAATTGTAAGTGGCGACAGATTGAATTTCTTCGATGGATATGAGTTTAGTCATCTAAAAATACTTGTTTCAACGTTGATTACAACAAAATTTTGACAATCATTTCTATTCTCTTGATTCTCTTGATGAGTCTTAGAAATTTCTCTATAAAAACTTATAACAGAAGCCAGTGCAACAAAAACATTCGACAGTTCCTTTTTTCCATTTTCATCTTCTCTCTCTTCTTTTGTTTTCCTTTTTAATAACTGAAGATTAACATGATGATCCTCGTGCGAGTTATCAAGGAATTAACAACAATCCAACAGGTGAAGGAGAGCCAAACTGAGCAGATCAGGTGGGATTATTAGTGTTACTTCTCCCTAAATGCTTCCATAATGTTAATTTTTTTCTTTAAAGTCCTTAGACTTTAAACAATCTCGTATAATAGCTTTTCACAAAGAAAAACTGGCCTGGAATTGACAGGCTTTGAATGACGCCCTGGCAAGTAAAATATAATGCGTTTTCGATGGGCGACCATCAAACTGCTTCTTTTGTCACTCCCGACATTATATCACGACTATTCATTGCCTTCAATTTAAGCTAAGAGTTTTCAATCTTTCCTTATTGTAACTGGAAGGAAAAAGATGAAGAATTCATATGAACGCTTGTGTTTTCAAAGTGACTATTCCTTTGGTCTCTTCCAGGCTTGGCGTCCGTGCATGCGTGGTGTTAGCTCCGTTGCTGGGTGTCACCTGGCTAATTGGCTTCCTTGTGCCGTTACACATCGCCTTCTCCTACATTTTTGTAATCCTTAATTCCACTCAGGTAAAGTCATCTTAAATTTTGAAGGTTTGTTCAGGCATTTGGCTACTCATGGGTAGATATAAGAACGTAAGTATAACGTGATAAGCGTCAGAAATACTGAAAAGCGTCTCCATATCCAAGGATAATTCAGATTCACCTTTTCGACACCAGACCCGTGACCCTCCGCAAAGAAGCCGACTCGAGACTATTTAAACCTTCCTTTTGCGCATGTAATTTCATCTTCAAAGCCTTAGCTCTGCTTAATTATGATATTGGAGTCACCATGAATCGATTACATCTGACGGTTAGAATTGTATTCGGGAACATAATCCTCAGATAAGTAAAGGATCATAGCTGATAAGGAAAGGAGACCTTCTTCTGAGTTGATCTAAAAGACTCAACCCTACATTCACGACAAAAAAAAAAATGTCAAGCTACTTTTATTTCTGTATCTATTTGCTTATTTGTTTATTTATCAACTAATAAAGTTTTATCGTTTTTTTTTAATAGGGATTCTTCATTTTCTTCTTTCACTGCTTGGGAAATAGCGAGGTAAATATGAATTTTGAGTCTATCTAATTCATATCAGGAAAAACCGGTTAAACATCACGAGTGCCTTTAATTTGACTTCTAATTCCTGTCTAGATAAGGGGGCGTTTCAAAAGAAGAGTCCAAAAAATCCACCCAAGTGCATTTAATCAAAGGCAAGGTGAAGACAGAGAAAACTCTCAAGCCCGTCAGAGTCACAATGATACTGGAATTCCTGTACGGGATCGAGAGTAATCAAGGGACTTTAAACTTTTGTCTTGCCAATTGAATGGGAAAATATTAAATGCATTTATAACCAGCTTCACTTATATTGCTTAGGCTGTAGCTGATTCAGGTTGATTCAAGTTGTATTTATACTTTTGTTTTTGTCCAGCTGCCAAGAAATTTCTTAATCACAGACTTAGCTTGGTTAATGATATGTAGCCACACTTATCTGGCATCGTTGGCATTCTATAGAATAATTATTTGTCTAAGAATGAGATTGTCAGAAAATAGCAGTTTATGATAAACTGAGTTATTACACTCATTCTGAAATCACTGGTGGTCTCTGTACTCTGATTGGCTCTAATTGGTGCGATTTATTCACGAGTCGCACCATTTTTTGCTTTAAATTGCATCTTTTTCCCAGCCAATGAGGAGGCTACACTAAAAACAAAACAACTAACCAGATTTCAAGGCTTGTTTAAAGTAACCAATCAAATTGCATGAAAATGAAAACAGAGTATCATGTGGCAAATTTTGCAACTATTGTTTCCAAAACTATCATCCCCCCTCCCCCCCCCCCCACCAAAATGGATGAATTTAATTTCAAACTAGCTTAGTACTGCATCAATAAAATATTTGAACTGAACAAGTCCTGTATTTGGGCAATTTGAAAATGGATGTAATAAAGTGATAATTGAACCTCGTGTCGTGTAATTTTGGTCTGAAATCATACTTGTGGTTTCAAATCGAACTCGCGCTGCACGCTCGTTCAATTTAAAATCACGCGAATGATTTCAGCCCAAATTGCACTCCACTCAGTACAATTACCATTATTAATCATTTAACCGGTAATCAGGTCTGAACTGTAGAAATTAGTTTTGGTGCAATAAAAAGTTATTAAGTACACAAATAAAGTTTGGGGTATATAACAGTTAGCATAGTTAAAACTATATTAAACTACAACATTTCGGAGCCGAGGAAGAGAAGATAAAAATAACCCTACGCAAACCACATACCTAGGGACCGATCATCCTTTAGACTCCTTGAAATAATGAGCTATTATTTCGACCGTGGAGAACGCAATTTTGAAAATTTCCCACCAACGGGGACGTTGCTTTTAATTCGTGGATATACCAGGTAAAGGAACGACTAATGAAGGGACTCGATATTTAGATTTCGTGGCGTTGGCAGCAGCCTTAGGAGTCCGGGGTGAGTAGGGATCTTATCAAATATGGCGGACTGATTGTTAAATATGGCAGATCAATTTAGGAGGACTTCTGTGGAATGACGCTCAAATCTCTCTCCTAGAATCAGAAGATCCTCGACTTCACATTGCGTCTTTTTCTATCTTAATTTTTTTAAAGTTATTTTTAATTATCCTCTCATGAAGCATAGATATATTTCGTTCGTAAAGTTAAAGAGTTTGCTGATAGATCAATGTCGTAATATTTTTCGATTTCCATTAGCAGTATGCTAGTTAGCATGCGGTATAATAAGGAGCAGTCGGCAATTACTCCCATCCGGGACTGTAAGACTTAAAAAGTCGACAGAAAAGCTAGTCATTACTGTTTTTTTTTTCCTTCGGAGCACCAAGATGCATTACATCATTACCCGGCCATACTCCATTCAGGACGGAAAAATATATTTTTTGAAAATTCATTGGCCGATTTTTTGTTCGTTAAAAGATCAGATTAATATTACAAAAGTAACTACACGGCAAAATATATCTGGAGGTAAATTGGATCTACTTCATACATCATTAATAATGGATTGAGGAAAGAAAAGCCATTATCTGTCGTTTCGGTCTCTACAGTTTATCTCAAGGTTGGAATTATGAGAGCACTTTGTTATTCGTTAGCAGTTAGTTCAGTTTATTTCATGACGGTTGATCTTGGTGAGTAGGTTGTCATCTTTAACTTGACATCTCTGCTTTCTAATTACCACCTATAGCTAAAAGCTCATCGACAAGAGGCTGCTCCTTATGGTTAAAACCCTTAATAATCATAGCCATAATTTATGAATGGATCGCATTTAGAGAGATATGCGTGTTCCTTGCAGTTTTTTGTAGTACAAGTTCATATTTTTTTTCATATTCCTTAAACGAAAAACATTTGTGATTGCTTGTCTATCCGAAATTGCGGCATATCACTAATATGGACAACATGAAAAGAACAAAACAAACCAGTACTTTCAAATAAACTTTTTCGGTGAAAATTAAACTAAAAAAAAAAACCGGCAGATTTTCATGGATAATTGCTTCCTCTGAGATAAAAAATTTCTAAGACCGATCAATGTAATATATGCCTATGTGTAATGATATACCACCAGGTATTTACCACCAATTTATTTTGCAATTTAATATTCTTGTCTAATCCCTTTTGTCTTGTATGTTATTGAATTCAAATTGGCTTTTTTCGCAACTGTTTCACCTTTCAGATGTTGCAAAGACTTATTTTCTTTAAGATGCAACTACACCTGGTTGAGAAACAATAACTGCTCAGCAGTTCGCTCTATCGCATTAATTCATACTTAGAAAACACACCCTACACGGCTAATGACCTTATAACAACTACGACGTTCTTTAGTGAACAGCGTTTAACTCTTTAACTCCCAAGATATCATTTGTAATTCTCCTTACAGTCTGCTATACAATTCTTCTGATTTTACTAGCAAGAATTTGGTATTGGATCAGCTAATAATCCCCCAATTGATACTTTTCTTGGTTCTCATCACTTGACTTCTTGATTTTGTATTGATGTTGTAAGGAGAATTTCTGTCTTGGTCACTGATCAGAATTAAAGGGTTGAAAAAGAAAAAAAAACACTCACGATTCTAATATTTTCCCATAAAAAAAACCGACCCTTTCTACAATTATATGAAAAAGTGAAACTCCGTTTTCCGGAGTAAGTGGCGATTGAAAAATATCTTTTCTCTAACTCTAGGAGTCTTCATCCTGATAAGCCCGTTTCTTCTACAACATGCACCATAGCTTAAGATTTGAGCGTTGGACTTTGTAAGGATAGGATAGGAAACCAGCCATAAGGTACTCATCTGAACGGGAAAATCTCCAGCAGAAGAACACACCCATTATTCATTACTACGCAGGGAGGGGGGGGGGGGCAATAGGGTTTGTCACGACATCATTTACATGGTCTTTTATAAGGTTTTATATGTTTCTACTCCACTCTCTTCGCTGGCAGTCTTATGGAAGCTTTCCCCCTCGTTTTATGCTGTTGGAGACGACTGATCCTCCTGAAAACCATGTGAACCCCCCCCCCCCCCCAAAAAAAAAAAAAAAAAAAAAAAAAAACCCAATCGTCTACCCCCAGCCTATAGTTAAAGACTAGCCGGTAACAGCCAAAGAAGCCAGCATTACCAGCAGAGACCTGTTCGTTTCGTTAGGCAAGTCGAGTTAACAAATATAGTTATCGGAGAGGGGAGAGTGGTGGTGGTGCTGGGAGCCATAAAGAAATACACAGCCTTACCCACTCAATTTTAAAATACTAGGGGGATTAATGGTGCTTTTACTTATATATCTCAGCCCTTTCCTAGCCTAATAGTAATAACATTCTGTTAAAGAGCAAAGGGCAAGCTCTTACTTACTGGAAGTGTTCCAATATTTTTTAGATTTGCATGTGTCTAAACCAGAAGAAAAGGAAAAAAAAAATTAGGATTAATACTGTTCATAGCATAACTAGCTATTCTTGTTTATACAGCCGATAAGACCTTAACCCCTATTAAATCCTTTAAAACTACTGCTGTTTTACCTTATGTCAAAGGTCTCTCTAAACCGCTTCGCCGTTGCCTGTAGAAACAAGGTGTTCACACTGTTTTCAAGTCGGAGACTACGCTAAGATCTCAGTTAGTACGACCAAAAGACGCCATCTAAACAAGATGGCGTAGTTTACAGGATTCCCTCTGAACGAAGTAAAGTTTAATGATCGTGACGCTTATTAATACACGCGCAGGGTCAAAGGGGCAATTCATATAAGACTTCACCCAGACAACATCAACGGGGATAGTGGAATAGAAATTCCAAAAGCGTGGATGCCCAGGATTAAAAAACATAACAAATGGAGAGCCGTACAACAGCAGACCACCGAGGGAGTAAATCACTGAATGAAACAGCAAAGATCGATAGTGGCCGTATAGATAATCCTCATCTCTGACCTTAAAGAAAATAAATTGAAAGGGATAAAGAAGTGACATAAATAGTGACCAAAAACTGTGGCAAAGAATTAAACCCTATGTGAGATGTTGTCTTCTTTTGTAGGAGCATCGATATTGGTGAAGTAATAGCAGAAATAGCATAAGTGGTTCATGGAAGTTCACACAAGTGGGCTGTCGGAGACTTTAAAGTTCATAGGGTTTATTTTATTACCTAGGGTTAATCCTCTATTGTTGAAGGTAGTTACACGGGAACGAGGGGAAAATCCCTAAATTTTGCTTTTAAGGTGTAGTGAAAAATTATATCGAATACGAGTTGTAAATAAAGGACTTCAGCAAAACTACGCGGAAGCTACGCAGCATGATTATCCACGAATATAAAAATAAATTTACTTTAGATGTCGACAATAGACAAAAGTATTCATCCCAGTTACGATGTGCTAAATACCTTTACTGCCTTATTTCATTACATGGTGCAGTTCTCACAAATCTCCGGCAGCTTTCGACGAATTCAATTTATAGCCATTCTTCTAGGGCCTTGGTTATTTTCTGTAGTATATGGCGACTTAAAAGGAGTGTTTGCATGTTGCGTTTTTCCAAATCCGTTTTAATCCAGAATTCATTCGCTTTTCAGTATTTTAAGCTTTGCCCAGACGAACAGTGAAGTCATGATATAATTAACCACTAGACTTTATTTATAAATCTCTTTCCAAAATTGTTTAATTTATTAAATGACAGTGAAGTTTTGGTATTCGCCTATCAATTTTAATAGAGTCCATTCCTCCACAAATTTGCCCATGATTTTGATTCTAATGCGAAAGTTAATTAACAAAGTGCTTTTAAGAATGTTTGTGAGTTTAGTGCAATAAAGCTATGTTTGTTATTAAAGCCTGTTTTCTTCCGTAAAATCCTCTCAGCTGTTATGCATATTTTCGCACAGTGTAAGTCTCTATGTCTGCGATGGACGTGTAGATACTCTTCATTCCAGACCTTAGAGAAAAGAAATAAAAAAAAAATTAAAAACGACACAAATGGAGACCAAAAACTATTGCAAAGATTTTAACTCCCGGTTAAATGTTGTCTTCTTTTGCAGGAACATTAATATCGGTAAAATAACAGGAAAAAAAACATAAATGGTTTGTGAATGTTGAGACAGGTGGGCTGTCGGATACTTTAAAGTTCATAGAGTTTATTGTATTAAAATCCTCTATTGTTGGGAGTAGTGAGATGAAAACGAGGGATAAATCCCTGAGTTTTGCTTTTTAGGTGCAGTAAGTATTTTATTGAATACAAGTGGTAACTAAAAAAAAATAAGAGAAACTACATGGTAGCACCGAAGCGTGAGTAGCTCCGCATATCAACGCGAATTTATTTTAGGAGTTGACAATAGACAAAAGTCTCGGTTTAAGAGTGTTATCTTGACATCACTGAACAAAGAGATTAAGAGCAGCTTTTTGGGAGAAGTGCCAAACAGCACATTGAAATGAAATAAAATTATAAGTAAACAAGAAAGCGAAAATGAATAACGCTTTATTTCCCAATGAACACACTGTTCGCCGTAAAGATTAAATTGAGATATCAAGTCACGTGGCCGCTCTTCTAACGAGATAACTCAAAATGTCTTCGTCAGACGAGCAGCTAATACTCGAAAGGTGAGCCTTTCAAGGCTAGACGTGATAGTTTATCAGTCATTTTAAACTTATGGCTGATATCCCTATTTGGTAGTAAAGTGAATGGTCATAAGAGGCGACTCAACACTGATCGCTAAGAAATCATGGAGAGCGAGACTGATTGTGATGTAAACGAAAAATTGTATCAATATCGTTAAGCTTCTTTTTAAAAAAAATTTAATTTTTTTTTAACTCCATTGTTTGCTACCAGATTTAATCAAAGTGCTCTGTGAGCAAACTCGTGAATTGACACATGATTTTTGGATTACGTTTAATGTTATCTGGTTTAGGGAATTTTCTGGTTGATTGTCATATCTAGAGTACGCGCAGTAGTTCAGTGTTCGCAGCAAAGAAACAAAGTAACGTTGGGATAAGAAGGCATTACAATTGAAATGATCATGCTATTACATTTGACAAGGGTGGATGATGTTATGTGTTTTAAACGTATATCATTTTTGTTTCTGGTTCAAAAGAAAAGGTTGGAAGTAAATGTGGGTGAAAAGTGAAATTTACTGTCTATCATTGTAAATATTAGAAAACCAAGACAATACTGTCTTAATGAAAGTATTAACGATTCCCTCTTTATCAAATGAGACAAACGGGAACGAGTTTTGAGTAATATAACTAAGCCAAGACTGTCACCATTTTGGATCTCCGCCTGGGTAGATTTTAGTCACGTGCTAGGCAACGTATAATAAGGAACTAGATAGAATTTCATTTCAGGCCTATTTATCAATTTTGCGGTGTATAACTTTCGCATGTTAGTACGTAATATTTATTTTGAATCTTCAAATCGTCTTGAAACTTAAAAGAGAATTGTTCTTTAAAAATCACTCAAAATTGGTAGCTAAAATTGTTTGTTTTTCGTGATAACTTGTAATTTCGTCAGTCGCCGGCATATTTTGTTGCTTTACACAGGAAAAACACACGATACGAAACGTAATGATCGATTTTTTCCTCAATCTCACGCCATTTAAGAAAAAGCTTTTGAACATCTGTAATCTCCGAGCGCTTCGCATTAATTTATATTTTCAATGAATCTTCGGATTGTTTTCAAGTCCAAGACTTGTAAATTACAATTTTATGAAAAACGAAGGTTGTTTTGTTTGTTTCAGTGTGAATCCTTGCATGCCTGCCAGTCGCTGGCGCCGCTTGTTGAAACTAAAACGAAAAAAAAATTATTTTAAGATTATCATTGGCTTCTTTTTCACCCCACCGCTACTCTTAGCAACAAAGGTCGCCATTTCGTTTGTTTATTGCTCGCCAAAAACTATCAAATGCACTCAAAAGCCTAAAATCGAAAAAAAGTTTACAGGAATCGACCAATCGAGCGAGCGAGCGAGTGCCATTCTCCACATCATATCTACAACTCGCTCTTGCACATGCGCGCAATTCACGAGTTAAAAACTGGTAATTATTATTATTATTATTTTCTTGTTCATTTTCGATGTTGAACTGCCCAGAACGAGCCACGTATTTATATAGGAGTTTGTCATTTAACTGAAAGACTGAAGTCTGCCGCTATGTCGGAAACATCTGGATTGTTACCTCAGGGGGAGATCAAAACCGTAGTTTTGTTTTGTTTTGTTTGTTTACATCCCTTTTATTAGCATTTTTCTGATAACAATTGTATACCAATGCTACCAAAACTAACATAATCTTTCGTATGAATTGAAATTGAGGTTGAATAACAGTAAGGCCTAAGCATGAAAATAAGAAAAAAAAGGCGGCAAAAGATGAATGATTTTGGCAGCTGCTATCACGTGTCGTTATCTTGAGGATGTCAGGCTGGGACGGATGAACGTCGCGGAAATATTTTGAGCCAGGTTGCTAAAACGAATTTTTATAATTGGCCTTTTTACTTAACATAAATGAAACGCAATGGATCGTTAGCTGTATCAATATTTCAGTGTAGTGCATGCGCAGGTCACTACGAATGAAAATAAGAGCAGGTTATAACCAGAAGTACACTAGCGCGTGTCTTAAAAGATATGGTATCAGTCACGCGCTTCTTGAGTGAATATAGTTTCATTCTAATGATGCAATGTGAGTGGATCAATTGAGACAAGTCTCATCTAACCACAGAGACCACAGTTCGAGTGAGAACTGCAATGATGACCAAAATGTTAGATGGTTTGGCAAGCCTATTTCGTCTTGCAGCGTTCTTTCTCGGTGCGTATATCTTTATCATTATCATGTTACTAGACATGGAGCCAACAACCATTTTTTAAGGGTTTATAAATTTCTCGGAGCGTCCCAAAATACAGTTGTATATATTAATCGTTTTCTTCCAATTCTGTATGTTTAATTGGGGAAAAAACTACACTCTTGACTGTGAAGGTCTTTTAATAAAAACAAGATATATGCACATATATAGGGAAAATTCGAATTTTTTTGTCTTTTTTTGATCAGCACTAAACTTAGAATACGCCACCATAATTGCGGGTTATCTCATCAAAATTACGAAAAATGAGTCTTGTCGTTATACTTGATGGAAAACTGCCATCTTTATATATCTATTCATTTATTTGCAATTCTTCTTGGTTGATTACCTTCATCGTTTTGGGCGACGTGAGAGAATTTTCTAAGATACCGATTCTTACGGCGAGACAATCGCTTTGAAACACAGAATTACATGCGTTATAGAAAGATCGATGGATAGCAATCTATCCGTTGGATAATGTTATCCACCCTTTATACAACTGAACACAGATATTTAGGATAAATGCTCGGGTTGAGCTTACGGACGGCTGAAGAAAAAAAGAGGCATAAAGAGATATATATTTTCTATTAGTTTTTCCCCATGGATATACGAATGGCGAGAAATTGTAATAATAATTTCACTTGTGATTTAAATATGCGAAGCTAAGAAATTCTAGATTCGACTCGAAGCCAAGATGGCGTGCATCTTGAATGTAAATTGATAATTAAAATATGGAAAAACTGTACTATCAGCGCATCAGCTACTTGCCACATTAAAAAGAAATGCTACGTAAGAATTTAGCCTAAAAAAAAGGTAAACATTAGGTATTGTAATTCTATAGCTATGATGTATGCTCGAAAGCAAATTCTCTGAAAGACAAAATCGTTATTCAAGTATCACTACAGTGTCAAAACAAGCCGATTAAAAGCGGAACCATAAACGTTACTACCCTTCAACAAAGTTCACAATAAAATACCTGTAATGAAAAATAAGTTCCATCACTGCACGACTGCAACATTTACTGTTTCTGAGTGGTTTGCTAATTGCAGGCTTTATCAGCTTATTATTAATGTTAATATCAATATTTTATTGTCAATATTAACATAATCGTTATTACTATTATTATTATTTTTTATCATTATTATCATTATCATCATCATTAGTATCATCATAGTTATAATGATATTCTTTTGATGCGAGTCTTGTCTTTTCCTTTATTATCCCGTAGTTATTCAAGGGTGCTGGGCAATAGCTGAGCAAAGTAAGTGCTTATGACACTACGGGCAAGTTTGAGTAAAGTTAGAAGATGACCGAGTGAAGTTAATCCAGTTGGTATATTGGGCAGATCGCGGCCAGACGTTTCATCCAATTCAAGAGAAAATCATGTTTCATAATTTTCTCCTCAATCAGCTCAGACGATGCATGCATAGCTAAAAACTGCACTGCGTAAGTTGAACTGCAAAACATGATTTTTTTGAGAGGCAAGTTGTACTCTATAATTATTTTGCCATCATTTCAATTTATTGCAGATGATACGTGTACAACTGCCCCGTTCTTGAACCGAAGTAAATGTGAACATTCGAACTGCAGAAACTTTCTTGAGAGTGGATGGCGCAAGATAAAATGTAGTCCATTTGTCTTTGGCGCTCGCCAAGGTTCCTGCTCTACGTGGTGTAAAAAACTTTACTCCCTCGCTAGCAGAGACAAGCCACCATGTCAACCAGAGTGTCGAAGTGTTTTCTTAAATCAAGGAATTGACACCGGGAAAATTCCATTTCGTGTAGTACCCTGCGGAGCATTTGTATTTATTATCACCTTAAGTAAGTAGATTTTAGGAAACAGAAAGTCATGATTCATCGAGAAGCGCGACTCATTCTAATCCGGCACTTCTTATATTTTAAGCTGAATCCACAATTTCAATTCACGTTATTGGAAAATTCAAAAGAGACGTATAAGTGCAACACCAGACGGTAGAGTTTTAATAGCAAATAATAATAGCTCGCCAGCTAAGAGGAGTACATGTAGCTAAAACCCATTTGAAGTTCCCCTTTTCCACAGAAATGTTTATTGGCATAGCACATTAAGCGTAGCACTAGGTGTAACGTCCAACATTCCTGCCGGATGATTTGAAATGTTCTGCTTTGTTTTACCTTATCGACATTAGAGGTCACAAGGAATTTTGAAGTTAAGGTGAGATTTTTTTTCCTAAGTTTTTTGTTTTTTTTTTTAATTTCTAAACAAATTATAATTGTCTTCTGCGCAGATGGAATGTATATGTAGTAGCCAGTTGAAAACCTGTTTAAAACAGTTAAATCATTCTCTTATTATTACTTTATATTCTAAACGATCCTGAGCCTGAGCCTTAAAAGCATTAATTTCAAGGTGTAGCTGCAATTATTAATATAATAACTTTTTTTTGTAACATAACAGAGTGTTCTTTGTTATGTTGGAGGGTTTATGTTTATTACTGTTTTTTTTGTAACGTAACAGAGTGTTCTTTGTTATGTTGGAGGGTTTATGTTTATTACTGTTTTTCTGTTTTGTTCGTTTGTTTGTTTTGTTTTGTTTTGTTTTTGTAAATTTTGCTTATCTGAATATTTGCTATATTGTCTGTTTGTTTCCTTTTTCTTTTCTTTCCTTTCTATTTCGCTTTCATGTGGTACAGCCAATTCCAAGTTGGGTAAGATATCAACTTAATGCTTTCCAACTTTAAATGTTTTGCATGGCTGTCAGGATGATAGAACACAGGGCTCGGGCTTCATAGCTGTTTATAACACTTGACATTACACCTTATGATCTTTTAGATGAATGATTTGATCAACCTTTCTAACATTGAAGTCAATAAAGAAAATGCTTTGCAGGTAATGCTTCATACCAAGATTTAGACTTCAATTATTATGTTTGTCTTACCCTTTACTTTAGTAATTAATTTGTTTCATGTGTTGCTGTTGTTGATATTGTAATCTTTGTATTTGCTGTTCTTTTTCTGTTTAATAGATTGTTCATTAAGCACTTAGAGATTGACTAAATGGGATACATTTAGCCACCTATCACAGAGACTCTAAATGTTCATTTCAAAGGGCCGTTGAAGGCAGTTATGCAAAAATTACTGAATATAGCCACCGCGTAATAATTTCCCATAATTGCTGTGTTTCTGTTTCAATTTTTGTTGTTGTTGTTCGTTTGCTTGTTTTGTTTTGCTAGTTTGTTTTCTTCGTCTGCAGGAGTTAATTCCTGACATGTTTGACTTTGCCTATTTTAACCCAGGTTGCTTTACCATTATTTGCAACTGCAATTAAAAAAATTCGGTTCCGCCATAAACAAAGGGATATTCTCGCAGATGAAGAAGGGGAAGAAGCTATGTTTTCCTCCTTTGCCCTTGAGGAGTTTATAATCAGATTTTCCAAACGCAGATTAAAAATCACAAATCCCGAAGCTAATGCTACCAGCAAAGAACTGGGTAAGTTGAAGAAAAACTCGTTATATTTTGCTAAAAAACATTGTTATCGTTACCATTATCTTTGCCGTTGTTGTTACCGTTATCGTATCTGTTATCGTTATTGTTATCGTCATCGTTGATGATGTGACTATTTTCATCATCATTATTATTTTACTATAGCGTTTCAAGTCAGACGTAATGTTCACCGAAAAGGAAGGGATTTTCTCTTCAATGGAAGCAATGGGGAGAACTTTATCAAGATTCCCTCAGCTAATCTACATCCGAATGGTAGGTGTATTCATTTTGGTTTAGTTCTTCACTTCTCGGCGAACCTGGAAATTCATTGGACTTCATTTTTATCTGCTCTTTTTCGCATAGTAGGACCAACAGCTCGTAAGTGGTTGATTTCATTTTTTTTTTAAATTCAGTTCTCCTTCCTCTTAAAAATAGGATCCGTAGTACTCGGGATTGAATACAACAGCCTTCAGGAGCTTTTTTCAAACTACTCAGCAGGCTCTGGAGGAACCAACAAAACCTGGTTTGTAAATTTTAAAATATAAGCCACAGACAGAAAAAAAAAAAAAGAAAAAAAAAGAGGCTAATTTGTGATTGCTGAGTTTGGTTTATTTCAGGATACTGGACAGTAAAATTATATCCGCTGTAGTAGATCCTTTGCTAGAAGTGCTAACAGAGAACGTCACCTTGGTTTTTCAAAACACGAAGGTATTTTTTTCTTTTTTTATAATTTTCCTTTGTTTGTTTGCTTGTTTGTTTTTGTTTTTCTTTATTTGTTCCTTTCCGTGGCTACGGGTTCCCATTACAGTCGATGTAAGTTAGGATTAAGTTCGCGTTACATTGTATGAGCCCCAAACCAATCACATTTCATCGCATTTCGACTCCTTAATTGAAATACAAAAAGTAAGAGGAAAAAAAAATGTCATTTCCTAACCATATTCTTTAATACTCAAATTCACTTTTGTTGAAAACAAATTTAGACCTCATTTGTGGGGTTGCCCCAGGGACCTTCATGTTGAGAATTACCATTTAACTTGGAGGGTAACACTAATATTCTATAACTGATGACGCCTTACTAGTCAGCTACTAGTAATGCATCACTGGGGCGAGCGCTGAAGCCTCACTATATTACCCTTTGAATCACAACACTTGACTCTATTTTTCCTTTAGGTGAATCGTAAAAAAAGAACATGTGTATTCTGGAGCTTCTCTGAAGAAAAGTAAGCACTACAGTGGCATAAATTTTATTAGCGGCGTTAATTCTTCCAATTTTTCATCGTAAACGAAGCTCAAAGTATTAGAAATCACTTTGGAGATATGAGTAGAGTGAACTGGATTATTTTCAGGTGGAGGGAGAAGGAGGTTTCTAATTGAAAAAGTTATTTTGACTCCTTTCTCCTTGTCTTATTCGTTTTTAAAGCTTTGGGGGTTGGTCAAGTGAAGGATGTCAAACAAAGATGATATCAGATCATTACACGGAATGTGTTTGCAATCATCTCACCCACTTCGCTGTACTCATGGATTTCACCAACAATGCTGATGACGGGAAGGTGACTATTTTTTTTTCTACAAAATAAAATTATATGGACCTAAAAAGGTACATAGAAGCATAAAAGTATCGCATTTATTTTTATTTGTTAATATAAACATTTCCTTTGATACAGATAAAATAATTATGACCTTTACAGTTTTTCAATCAGGATAAAACTCGTTCGTCAGATGAGCATGACAAAATATTGACACTCCTTACTCGAGTAGGGATGGCTTTATCTCTCACCGGAGTCGCACTAACAATTATCAGCTATCTTCAGCTCACGTAAGTACATTTAATTAACACTGATATCCCTTGAACTGTATTGTGAGAAATTAACTATGTCTAAAAGGATGGAAAATAAGTCATCGAATCAGTTCTGGATCGATGTCAGCACAGATCGACCGTATCTGGAAAAGAAATCAAACGTTTTGAGATGATCTTTCTTAAAAAATGATATTTCAATGGAAACTTTCTGGTCAGTATTCTTTTATTCATTCGTTATTCACAAATTAATTCCTATAAAAAGTGTATTATGTCAGCATAATTATATTATTCGTTCGTTTGGTGGATCATTTGCAGTTGTCTTTTTGATGGTTTCCTTTACAATTCATTGATCCTTTTAGTCTGACTGCTAAATCGATTTCAATTAGTTACTATTTATTGGCTCGTTTGCAGAGACAGAAACTTACCTTTGTGTCACATACGGGTTAGTCTGACATCCTGCATTGGAGCAGGACATATCATCTTTTTCGCTGGAATCGACTTCACTGAAAACCAGGTGACTCTTTGAACCTCCTGTTCTTGTAATTGTTTGTTTGTTTGCTTGTATTTAATTTGGTCCCAGCTTCTTAATGATTTGAAGACTGACTGATCCATCGAGTGATTCTTTTTCTTGTTCTTGTTCTTTTTTTTTTTTTTCCCTCTCGGTTTTGCCTTGTTCATTCTGTTTATTTTGGTTTCTGTTTCTTTCTGTTTTTCGGATTATTATTTCGGCAAATACCATTTGCGGGAAAATTATAACACTTTTACGGATTATCTATTTCTTGCAGGCTGCTTGTGTAGCTGTGGCAGCTCTTATGCAGTATTTCCTGATGGCCAGTTTTTGCTGGATGCTTGTCGAGGGGATTTATATCTATTTATTTGTTGTAAAGGTTTACAACATTAGCGATAAAATGTATCGCTATCATGGCTTTTGCTGGGGTGAGGAGCATTGTCAACAAATGGGAAAAATGGGATAGGACTTGAAGAAATACTTGAGGAAATATCTCGATTCTGATGGCCAAAACCAAACTGAACAAAAAGATCTTAAAATGGCTTTGTTTTTTAATTCTTCAAATGAACACACGCATTTTTTGGAAACCATTGCATCGTCTCGAGTTGTACCTAAGTTGATAGTAAAATATTCCCGGTGCTCATTAGAGTTAGTTATAAATGCAAATTTAGTTGGCTGAAGTAGGGTAGCTATGTCGAATTTGCGGTGATTTAGTAATTTCATACCCACAGCCAAAAGGTTTCAAGAGTTAACAACATAAAAAATCACATTGAAAATTCATATAATCGCGTAACAACTTACCGTCGGTGGTTTATTAAAATCATCAACTTCTACAGTCATCGGCTTTGGCAAATGTAATAACACTAGAACTTGATTATTTTTGCTATAATGTCTAACTTAAACTGGCAGTCTTTTATCTTTACTTTCCTCAGGACTGCCTGCAATCGTAGTTGCTGTATCTCTGCCAATCGCTGCAGGAAATGATGGAATCGAAACTTTTGTCAATGATGAAAAGTAAGTTTTAAAGTTTGTTAATTTTATCGACTGCATACAAAATGGTGGAAGCCTGAATTTATGAACCTGAAAAAAAAGGGGGGAATGGGGGAAGGTAAAGGAGAAAAAATCCTGGTGCCATAGTGTGACCTTCCCTTTTCCCTGACTCCTATATTTTGTGAACCAGGACTAAGGAATGCAAGGGCTTAATAACAGAAACCTGCAGCCCTTTTAACTGGCCTCCCTTCCCCTTACCCACCAGGCACCCCCTTCTTTCAAGCTGCAAGCTGTGGATCTCTCAATGTATTACAGTACAAGTAGTGGAAGAGTTTTTTAATGTAACGTAAAGGCAACATGCTGTATCAAAAATGAGTTTGGATTTGACATTCTGCCATGAAACACCTTTAAATGCTGCTATCGACGTAGAAAACAAATTTAAACTTTGTTCCCCTGTGCCTTTTTTTTCTAATTCTAAGCTGCTGGATGTCCTCCTCTAATAATATCATCTGGATATTTGTTTCCTTTGTTGGACTGATCGCAATTGTAAGTGGCAACAGATTGAATTTCTTCGATGGATACCAGTTTTAGTCATCTGAAAATATTTGTTTCACCGTTGATTAGATCAACATTTTTTCGATCATTTCTATTCTCTTGATGAGTCTTTAAAATTCCTATTTAAAAACTTACAACAGAAGCAAGGGCAATAAAAAATATCCGACAGTTCCTTTTTTCCCTTTTCATCTTCTCCCTCTTCTTTTGTTTTCCTTTTTAATAACTGAAGATTAACATGATGATCCTCGTGCGAGTTATCAAGGAATTAACAACAATCCAACATGTGAAGGGCAGCCAAACTGAGCAGATCAGGTGGGATTATTAGTGTTTCTTCTCCTTAAATGCCTCCATAATGTCAATTTTTTTTTCTTTAAAGTGCTTAGACTTTAAATAATCTCGTATTATTGCTTGTTACAAAGAAAAACTGGCCTGGACAGGCTTGACAGGCTTTGAATGACGCCCTAGCACATAAAATATGGTGCGTTTTCGATGGAAGACCTTCAAAGTGCTTCTTTTGTCACTCCCAACATTATATCGCGACTATTCATTACCTTCAATTTAAGAGTTTTCAATCTTTCTTTATTTCAGCTTGTGGGAAAAAGATTTAGAATTCAGTTTTAACGCTTGTGTTTTCAAAGTGACTATTCATTTGGTCTCTATCAGGCTTGGTGTCCGTGCATGCGTGGTGTTGGCTCCATTGCTGGGTGTCACGTGGCTGATTGGCTTCCTTGTGCCGTTACACATCGCCTTCTCCTACATTTTTGTAATCCTTAATTCCAATCAGGTAACGTCGTCTAAAATCTTAAAGGTTTGTTCAAGCATTTGGTTACTCATGGGTAGAGATAAGAGCGTACTTACAACGTGATAAGCGTCAGAAATACTGAAAAGCGCCTCCATATCTCAGGATAATTCAGAATAACTTTTAGACACCAGACCCGTGACCCTCCGTAAATAAGCCGACTCGCGACCATTTAAACCTTCCTTTTGCACTTGTATTTTTTATCTTCAAAGCCTTAGCTCTGCTTAAAAATGATATTAGAGTCAACATGAACTACATCTGACGGATAGAGTTATATTCGGGAAAATAAGCCTCAGATAAGTCAACAATCGTAGATGATAAGGAAAAGAGATCTCTAGCAGAGTTGTTCTAAAGGACACAACCCTACATTGACGACAAAAAAAAAAAAAAAAAAAAGAAAGAAAGAAAGAAAGAACAGAAGAGTAAAGCTGCTTTTATTTCTGTATCTTTTTGCTTATTTGTTTTATTATCAACTAATGGAGTTTTATCTATATTTTGTCGAAGGGATTCTTCATTTTCTTCTGTCACTGTTTGGGAAATAGTGAGGTATATATGAATTTTGAGTCTCTGTAATTCATATCAAGAAAAACTTGTTAAACATAATAAGTACCTCTAATTTGACCTTTAATTCCTATCCAGATAAGGGGGCGTTTCAAAAGAAGAATCTTAAAAGTCCTCCCAGATGCATCTAATCAAAGGCAAGGTGACAATAGAGGAAACTCTCAAGCTCGTCAAAGTCACAATGATACTGGGATTCCTGTGCAGGATCGAGAGTAATCAAGGGACTTTGAACTTTGGTCTTGTCAATGGAATAGGAGAATACTAAATGCATTTATAACCAGCTTCACTTATGTTGCTTAGGCTGTAGCTGATTCAAGTTAATTCAAGTTGTATTTATAAATATATATTTTTTTGTCCAGCTGCTGGGAAATGTTCTTAAGCACAGACTTAGCTTGGTTAATGATGTGTAACCACACTTACCTGGCATCGTTGGCATTTTATAGAATAATTATTTGTCTAAGAATCAAATTGCCAGAGAACAACAGTTTATGATAAACTAATTAATCATTTAACCGGTAATCAGGTCTGAACCCAGGCTTTGCTAGGTTGATGATATTTAACCACACTTACGTGGCATCGTTGGCATTATAAGGAATAATTATTTGTTTTAGAATCAAATTACCCGAGAATACCAGTTTATGATATACTGATTAATCATTTAACCGGTAATCAGGTCTGAACCGTAGAAATCAATTTTGGTGCTTTTATTTATTTATTTATTTATTTATTTTTAAGCACAGAAATAAAGTTGGTAGTATATAACAATTAACTTTATAGTAGAAAATTGTCCAAACTACAACATATTGGAGCCGATGAAGAGAACATAAAAACATTAACTTTCTTTTGGTGCGAGACTCGAGGATTTTAAAACTTTGAAACGACCTACGATGAATCCTGGAAACTGGAGTTTAAGTCCATTGGCAAAATATGCCAGCTGGTCTCATGAGCAGATCAAGCGCTGACAAAATTGACAGCTTTGAAATTTTAAGCGGATGCAAAAAGCGAGACAAAAATCTGTCACGACACAATTTGTCCTTTGATTATGTCAAAAGGAATTCTGGTTTTGTCTGCTAGTGCAGATAGCCCAGATCGGCTCTAACGAAGAAATTTTTAGTTAAATAATAGCCTTCACTCTCGAGAAATTGCAAATATATTACTCATGTGATCCGACTACAACTTTAATTCCGAAAACTTCGAAAACATCTCTAGTCAGTCTGGCTTTCTTTCATTGCCTGACATTTTTCCTTGTGCTGCGGGTGTCAACTAGTACTTTCACTTGGAACATGCTAATAACTGTTTCATTTTTTTACCATATCAAAATTTTAAAAGATAAGATTATCATAAAAATGTAAAGTTCTTCCATATATTTAATACAGTGTAACTTTTGATTTTAATTCGTTACATTGACTAGTTTTGGTTTCAATTCGTAGAACCTGCTAAACAGATAATATAAAAAGGGGGAAAATTTGCACAATCTCGTCACGCAATACATCAAACTGGGTTTGTCCAGTTGATTTTGATGGTGGCAGGGAAATGTCGAATTTATCGCTCAAAACCGTTTTGGTCCACAACAGCGTAACTCCATTAGTGATTGAAACAAATTTGCAAAAAGTAGGGCTAGTTCATCGGGTTCCGTGTGCTAAATCTCGGGAGAAACTGCACAATTCTTTTAGAGAGTATGCGTGTTGTTTTGTAAATATAAACACTGTAACGTATTTTATCTTGTTTGTTTGTCCTTTAAAGCAACGCAACAATGTCTGTAATAACCGGAGTGCCAAATTTAATTCTTTAATTTTGACATTCTCCACACTTTGTGTAGTTCATAATCTGATATTTCTACGTAAATTAACGAAGCCTGCATTTTGATTGCTTCTTAGTGCGGTCCGGATTTTTTTATCTCTGCCCACGTGAGTCGTGGGTCGCCGAGTACATCCCTAGTTTCGTTGCTATTTTCATAAATATAACTTGTTTTGCCGGCTGGAAATATTTTCAAGCATTCAAGCCAATTAATAACTTATTAACCGTCTCCTTTCTCCCTCTCAAATCACTTTGGATACTCTGCTGAAGACAGCAAAAGCTGTTTGAGGGGAAATTACAAACAGGTCAGGGCAAATTTCTGGTTCCTAAAATTTTCGATGCTTGGATACAAACCTCTGTAACTTTCCAGAGTTCTCGTTCAGCGTTCACAGTACACCAAGAAGATTTTCTTTTCGTTCTTACCCAAGTTGTTATTACCTTCAAGGTTACGAACGTAATCCACGCTGGTAGTGAACTGACAGATTCATCCTAACGGTTGGTGGCATTAAGTTGTCTGCAATTCTATTGTTGTAAATTACAGACCTAAACATTTTCCGTTTCACAAATAACAGATTTTCATTTCGAAAGTTATAGAGTTTGAGCTAATTCAACAATCTACAGGTGTCAATTTTGTTTCGCAACAGTAAGTCCTCGGTACGGTTGAATAATGACACCAAAACAAGAGAGGCACGCGAACTCTGGAATGTTAGGGGAAGTGGTAGGACCAAGCATGGAAAATTTTGGTACTGGAAATTTGCCTTCACTTGTTTGTAATTTATCCTCTTAAAGTTTTTTGAAGTCTTTTGGTACAAGAGGCAATAGTGATCTGCTTCATTGCGGCAGTTTCTTGCATAAATCAAACAGAGCTACAATTTGCCTCTCTCGCAAATCTATATATATTTTTTTCACTCTTCCACTATGAAATTTCGAGGAATTTTCGCACGTTTCTCTACCACTGCACTTTATTCTTTATACCGATGAAAGCGACTACGCACTTAGCCTCGTCCTCAGGCCGTAATTTCGATACCAAATCACTGAACCGCGAGAACTCAGTAGTGGCCTATTAAATATATCGGTTGAATTTTCGCTCATTTGATATCTGATCGAATTGTCTTAAACAATTTTTTCGTTGTAGAACGGTGAGCGGAGTCTTCAGTCCCAATAAAAATAGCTTTCGGTAAGTCTTTGTAGGTCTGTTCAATTTGGTCATTTGTACCATAAACTGCACAACAAAAACCCAAGGAATTCAATGAGAAAAAGGCACATTAAATTATCCTTGGGTCCAATTAGAGTTCTTCATTTGACTTAAGTCTATCGGTGAAAGTTCGTTAGCTAAACCAGGGCCGTTGTTATTTTCTTTCAATATTGTGCATGCGCTTTTCATCTTACGCGCTCTCTATTTGACAGGTGTCAGATTGTGACAGATACTTGTAAAAAAAATGTTTCAAAATTTGTTTAGAAGCCTTTTAAATCACCTTAATCATTACACAAATAAATATAATTCGGTAAAGCCTCTCTCTTTAAACTGCAATACCTCTACTTTAACTAACATTTGTCTGTCTTGATTTCCGCCCTCGGCCTGGGGCTTCTGACGGTACTCAAGATTTTAGGCACAGTTTTTCCGTTTGGCGAATAACATATATTGTTAAAAACTATTAATATTATGAATATCATTATTATTACTGTTGTTGTTATTATAATTACTTGATCTTCTTAATTTCATTTTGTTACATATATATTTCAAATACAACATTTTCCTCAGAGCGTATCTTCTGTAAAGCATGTATGCATACCCAACTTACTCTAGTTTACTCAAAAAGGTTTGAATAATAATGGGCCCTAACTTGGGTTTTTTTTTTTTTTTTTTTTTTTTTTTTTTTTTTTATTTTTTTTTTTGCCGCGATTTTTTAATATTTAGTTTTTTTTTTTTTTTTTTTTTTTTTTTTTTTTTTTTTTTTTTGTAAGTGAAAGCCCTTTAATAAGTTGAAAGATAGCACATACCGTATTAATATGGAGTAATGCATTGCGTGCTAAATTGTCGAGTCACGAAGGAGAATTGTAGAACAGATGGCCGGGATGACATGTGGATAAAAACATACTGGATGAATCATAGGCGCTTCAAGTGAATATATGTTTTTATGTCATTGATTCATTGTGGATGAATTGATAGAAACAAGAGTCTTCAAGTGAGATCAAGAGTCTTCGTGTGAGATCAGGAAGGATGAACAAAATACCCTATGGTTTCGGAAGAATAATTCATATTGCAACGTTCTTTCTTGGTAAGAATTATCTTACGCCGGTTAATATTATCATTATTTCGATTGACCCGATGCAGAGGCAACTATCAGTTTAAAGTTTGTTAATCGTTTATTGGAACATCAAACAAAGAAAAGGATAACAATGAAAGGCAGAGTCAAAATATTAGACAAAAACGATGAGTTTTTGGTGTTATGCTAACGATCAAAGCGGATATGCTACTGAAGCGGAAATTGCAGTAGTTTATCACGTCGAAAACACCAGTTTAAAGACAAAAATATTAAAACAGCTTTGTTGCGACTCATTTTTAATGAATACTGATCAATCTATATAAAATGTTGTTTAAGAGGATACAACGCTACTTAGCTAATTGCCGTTTAAAAGTGTACTCAGTTGATCGCCTTTATTATTCCGCGAGACGTCGGAGGGTTTTCGAAAAGGCAAGGCTACATTTCCCAAGGGTGACACGATCGATTTGAACCACACGATTTCATATTGGATTGAAATAAGAAAGCCAACATACAAATTGTTCCATGAAAAAAGAAATTATTTTAGAAGCAGTCGGTATAATTTTTCTTTCGCTTTTCAGAATAACAATGTACTGTAGGCAAGTGCCGTGAACTGCGTCAACCAGATGTTGTGACTGGAGCTTTAATTCTAAACAGTCAACCCCCCCAAAAAAAAACTTAGCAAAAGGCACAGTCTAACGTTGCTTTAGATCGAAAGAATTTCCTCATGATGATTACAAAAAAAAAAAAAAATAAAATAAAAGGCTTATAAACAAGATCTCATTTTTCTCATGGCGATAAACGCATCGAATAAGCTTCATGCTTAAATACGTGCTATTTAAATGCGTAAGGCTTTATTCAAAGCCAAGATGACGAGCATCTTGGATGTAAATAAAATTTGAAATTTGCGTAAACTTTACGATCGGTTCATCGGCTTTTTTTTTCACTTTATCATTTTGATGCTATTTTTTTAAAATGAAATTAGTCCTCAAAACCACTATTCGAGGATGTATGTGTATCTTAAAGAAGAAGTCTCAGGTGTTGCATTAATTCTCCTTCATAAAATAGGTTATTGTTAGCCAAGAATAGCAACAATATGGAAAACATGTAAATCAAACCGAGATTACAGGCTTCACGACACTTCAGCGTAGCTTCAAATAAAATCTCTCAGACTAATAACTCATTCTACCGCAACAATAGTATATTAGATTTGCTGTTTCATAGTTTGCCAGCTTTTTCCTTTATCAGCCGATTATTTGTTATTTTTTGTTTAATTTGTTTTTTTCTACATAACAATTTCGTTATTCCTATTATATTTATTGCGTTCGAGAGAACGCACACTCTCCGTGTTGCTTCTTTCTGAATGATGTGCAATTTCATGGATTGGGCACCATCTTGGACTGGCTGACCACTAACCTCGATTTCATGCGCAAGCTTTGAATCCCGCGTGCTGGCTAAATGAAGCCCTTGCCATGTGGATGCCATGGGACGATATGTAGATGAATTGTAACCAGTCAACCATTCGAAATGAGTTACTACAGGACGGAATTGTGCGCCACGCAACCATTAGATATTCGTAGGTTTGATTATACCCTGGAATTTTGTTACGCAGACGCAAAATTCTCATTTCTAAGTTAGACTTAGTATTCAATGATTGTTACTAGTGATGATTGGTATCCTTCTAATTTAAGGTTACAGTTTTTTTTTCCCTTTCTTATCTTTCAGTTGTTCAAAGCGGCTGGGCTATGGCAGAACGAAGTAGGTGCCTCGTTATCAGCTAGCTTGAGCAAAGTTAAAAAAAAATAATGATAAAAAAAAAAAAAAGAAGATGAATAAACAAGATAAATCTCAAGTGGGTTAATAAGCTGTTCAATTCATTCTACTTTATCTAATAGCAAAGTGTTCATTTACCTTCTTTCGCTGCCATGTTAATTTTCCTGCAGATGATGAGTGTGGAGCTGCCCCGTTCTTGAAGCAAAGTGAATGTAGTGGTTCCAACTGCGATGGACTCCTGAAGGGTAAATGGCACAAGATAAAATGCTTTCCGTTTTCCATCAGCGTTCGCAGAAGTCTGTGCTCTAAATGGTGCCATGCTTTGAATCCCGCTTGCTGGCTAAATGAAGCCCTTGCCATGTGGATGCCATGGGACGATATGTAGATGAATTGTAACCAGTCAACCATTCGAAATGAGTTACTACAGGACGGAATTGTGCGCCACGCAACCATTAGATATTCGTAGGTTTGATTATACCCTGGATTTTTGTTACGCAGACACAAAATTCTCATTTCTAAGTTAGACTTAGTATTCAATGATTGTTACTAGTGATGATTGGTATCCTTCTAATTTAAGGTTACAGTTTTTTTTTCCCTTTCTTATCTTTCAGTTGTTCAAAGCGGCTGGGCTATGGCAGAACGAAGTAGGTGCCTCGTTATCAGCTAGCTTGAGCAAAGTTAAAAAAAATAAAAAAATAAAAAAAAAAGATGAATAAACAAGATAAATCTCAAGTGGGTTAATAGGCTGTTCAATTCATTCTACTTTATCTAATAGCAAAGTGTTCATTTGCCTTCTTTCGCTGCCATCTTAATTTTCCTGCAGATGATGAGTGTGGAGTTGCCCCGTTCTTGAAGCAAAGTGAATGTAGTGGTTCCAACTGCGATGGACTCCTGAAGGGTAAATGGCACAAGATAAAATGCTTTCCGTTTTCCATCAGCGTTCGCAGAAGTCTGTGCTCTAAATGGTGCCATGAAGAAGGGACATCGACTCAGTCGTGGTATAGTGCACTTCATAAATTTTCTTTAAATCGAATCTGTTGCAAGAATGGCGACAGAAAACTCATCTTTGAAGTAGTACACTGCAGATCTTTCGAGTTTATCATCAAATCGATAACCCCAGGTAAGTGTCTCGTCGATACTTTTCTTGTTTGATCTTATTATTATTATTACTAATAGTATTATTATTATTATTATTATTATTATCATTATTATCACTATCATTACTATTATCAGAATCCTGATAAGTTTTTTGGGGATCGTAATTGTTTTATGCTTTTTATATATGGAGTAGCCAGGGGGGAAAAAAGGCCTTAAAAACTTCAATTTCGTCCGCATTTAGCATAACAATAACTGCTTAACGATGCTAGTTATGTACTGTGTTTTTGCAACACCTTATAAGTCGAATGAATTCAAGAAGACTGCAAGCTATCTCATGATAGGCGTTACGCTTTGCTTACAATGTTAGCTTATGCCCAATGTCTACAGGCTACTCAAACGTCTACAGCAAAACACTGTAACTTGCATTTTAGTAGAAGTGGTCGAACCCCTTTGGAATTCCCATTGTAAAGTACGAATATCGCTTAACATCAGTCCTTTCGTATGATATAATTTTGGTTTTACGCTTCATATCTCCTTGGCTTTTATTTCAGAAGCAACTGGAGTAACAGTCGTTACAACTCAACCAACCCATCATACTACGGTAGGATATTTGATCGATTTTCTATGAGATTCTTGGTTTCAAAATAAATTTTACACGTAACCATAACAGTTCAAATTATTTTCTTTTTGCCGCAGAATGAAAGCTATCCATGTAATGTCCTTAATTCCGAAAACAACAGCTCACTGGTATATGGTGATGTGCCGATAGATATACTGTTTATCTCACCTTCCATTCTGTCTGTTAGTTTGTATTTTAATTTAATTTACTTCTGATTGCTTGGTTTGTGTTTGTTTGCTGGTTTGTTCGTTTATTTTGTTTGTTTGCTTGATTGGTTGGTTTGCTGCCTGATTAGTTACAAGTTTGCCATGTATAGTGATTGACTTTTTCCTCAGTTTTGGGCCGTTTCTCTCATACAATAGCGGGAAGTCACGATATACGCTTAAAGATATCGTTTAGCTAAAGGGAAGTCTTGTTGACTTGAGGATGTTTCAGGTCTGTTATTTCATCTGATAACTGTCCTCAAAAGTAAGTTAGTATCAGTCATAAAAACTCCTGAAATCTGCTAACTCTACCTCTTTTCATCTAGTGTGAAAAGCAACGATTTAAAACTTTTATCCAAAGGATACGGTCAGCATATTCATCAAATGATCAAAAACTGGAGGACACTGTTTTTGCTGCGTTTACCTTTGAAGACTTTGTATTAAGCTCTGCCAGAAAGTGTTGGAACGTTAAAAATCCCGAATTTATTGATGTCGATGAAGATCTGGGTAAGTGCAAAAGAGCCTTTCCTCTTCTTATCGGATCGTTTTGTAAGGCAAGCATTAGAAGGAAAAGTCTAATCTTTTTTTGTGTGCAGTATCATAAACATAATTGTTGCTCTCAATTCTTTAATCTGAGAAATAATTGCGTGCAAAATCATAAGTTAGAGGAAATGCAACTGAATAAATTCTAGTCATGCGCGTCATTGCCTTTGCTGAGCATATACAGCAGTTGCACTCTGTGAGCGAGTGAAAATATATGTCAACGCTGTAGCGTTTGCCTCACATATTTCGCTTTTTTTTCAATCAATATAGCCTTTCGGGTTAGACGCAATGTCCTCCATAGAGAAGATGACTTTCTGTTTAATGGAAGCAATCGGGAGAACTTTATTAAGATTCCCCTGACTAATCTGGATCGAGGTAAAACCCTTCTATGTTTTGAGTCAGTCTTGTTTCAAGACGATTGCCCATATTTTCTTGGCAAACTCTTCAGTGGAAATGGCTTCATTCCGAAGTGCATCACCAAATTTGCAATATGCACGTGGTGTGCACTTAATACAGTGAATTCTTGTTTTATTTTTCTCTTTTCCCCTTTTTCCCTCCATCTTAGTCAAAATCGGTTTCTGTTTCGAAATTTCTCGAGTTTCTTTCTTTTTTTTTTGGGCGTCATTACGGAGAAACTATGCTTTTTCAAAATTTTGAATATTGCGCTTTTTCATGATTCACTTGTCTGTAACGACATTAGTGCCCGTACATTTATGGTCGGTTTCTTTAAAAAAAATACATTTTGTGAAACTGAAATAAATGAAATTCTCATTTCCCATTTAAACAGATTCCATAGTACTTGGGCTCGAATACATCTATCTTTCTGAATCTTTTTCAAACTATTCAGCTGACACTGAGGGAGGCAACAAAACTAAGTAAGTATATTTTATTTTTACGACTGAGAACGAAATAGAAAAAAAAAATTCTGTGTTGTGATGATTTAATTTTTTTTATTTCAGGATACTTGACAGTGTAATTATGTCCGCCGTAATAGACCCTCCACCCGAGGTTCTACTAGAAAACATCACACTGGTTTTTAAGAACATAAAGGTGTTTACGTCTTTTTTTCGTTATCTGTTTACTTATCCATTTTAATTTCATTGGCGTTTGTCAGTTATTTTGTTTGCTTGTTTCATGAAAGGGGAGCACCAACAGTTTATTCATCTCCCATGTGGGTTACTATACTGTCGTCTTCTTCTCGCCAATTTCCAAATTTCGTCACCTTGAAGCGGCGGTCTTTCGCAGTTTCTCAATTTTGTATCTGAGACTTGAGGAATTCGAATTAAAGAACAAATCAACAAATTCGTTTTTTTTCTGAATAACAAATTAAGACCTCATTACTGGAGTGGTCCCAGAGACCTTCATGTTAAGAATTACTATTTAACCTGAAGGGTTACATTGATATTCTATAACTATGACGCCTAACTAGTCAGCTATACCTACAAGCAATGCATCACTGAGGCGAGCGCTGAAGCCTTGCTATATTAAGCCCTGAATCAAAACCCTTAATTCTTTTTTTTTCCTTTAGGTGAATCGTAAAAAAAGAACATGTGTATTCTGGAGCTTCTCTGAAGAAAAGTAAGCACCACAGTAACATAAATTTTATACACGGCGTGCATTCTTCTGATTTTCATCGGAAAGGAAGCTAAAAGTATCAGAAATCACTTCAAAGCAATTAGTAGAGTAAATTGAACTCTTTTCAGGTGGAGGGGGAGGGAGTTCCCAATCAAATAAGTTATTTTGAATCCTTTCTCCATGTCTAATTCTGTTTTTAAAGCTTTGGGAGTTGGTCGAGTGAAGGATGTCAAACAAAGATGATATCCGATCATCATACGGAATGCGTTTGCAATCATCTAACCCACTTCGCTGTGCTCATGGATTTCACCGACAATACTGATGACGGGAAGGTGAACATTCATTTTTTTTTTGCTACAAAATAATGTCATAAGGATCTAAAAAGGTACATAGAGGCATGAAAAGTATCGCATTTATTCATGTTTGTTAGAGTAGACATTTCCTTTCATACAATTAAAATAATTATGACGTTTACAGTTTTTCAGTCAAGATAAGACTCGTTCGACAAATGAGCATTACAAACAACTGACACTCCTCACCCGAGTAGGGATGGCTTTATCTCTCACTGGAGTCATACTCACAATTATCAGCTATCTTCAGCTCACGTAAGTACATTTAATTAACACTGATATGTAACCGAATTGTAGGAAATTAATTAAATTGAAAATGATGGAAAATATGTTATCAGATCAGTTCTGGATCGACGTCAAAACGGACTGCTCGTTTCTGGAAAAGAAATCAAACGTTCTGAGATGATCTTTCTTTAAAAATGATATTTCAACAAAGAGTAAAAATGGCTTCAAACAAAGTGTTAATGTTAGATAGAAACTTTCTAGTCAGTATTCTTTTATCCATTAGTTGTTCACTAATTAATTCATGTAAAAATGTATTATGTCAGCATATTTATCCCTCCATTTGGTGGGTCGTTTACACTGGTCCTTTTGATGGTTTCCTTTGCAATACATTGACCTTAGTTTTGTTTCTGTCTGACCGCTACATAAATTCCATGTAGTAACTATTTTACTAGCTTGTTTGATTTTCTTTACTTTGTGCTCTGCAGAGACAGAAGTTCACCTTTGTGTCACATACGGGTTGGTCTGACTTCCTGCATTGGAGCAGGACATATCGTCTTTTTCGCTGGAATTGACTCCACAGGAAACCAGGTGACTTGCTGAACTTCTACTTTTGTTGTTGCTTTTTTAATGTTGCTATTCTTGTGCTTGTTTATTTATTTGTTTGTTTTATCATATCCACCTTCTTTTTGATTTAAAGACCGACTGATCTATAGAGTGATTCTTTTTTCCTGGTTATTTGTGTCTTTTTGTTTGCATAGTTTCTATGTATGCTGTAACTTTCCTCTGTTTTCTTTTAATTCTCGTTCTGTTTTCTTTGGTTTATGTATCTTTTTGTTTTTCGGATTATTATTTTGACAAATACCATTTGCCGGGCAAATTATTACATTTTAACGGATTACCTATTCCTTGCAGGCTGCTTGTGTAGCTGTGGCAGCTCTTATGCAGTATTTCCTAATGGCCAGTTTTTGCTGGATGCTTGTCGAGGGGATTTATATCTACTTATTTGTTGTAAAGGTTTACAACATTACCGACAAAATGCATCGCTATCATGGATTTTGCTGGGGTGAGGAGCATTGTCGAGAAATAGCAAAAATGGGATAGGACTTAAATAATATACTTGAGGAAATATCTCGATTCTGATTTGCCAAAACCAATAGGAACAAAAGATCATAAAATGGCTTTGTTTTTTAAATTTTTAGATGAATCATTGGATCGTCTTGAGGTGTACCAGAGTTAATCGTAAAATATTTCCGGTGCTTATTAGAGCTAGTTATAGTTGCAAATTTAGTGGCTGAAATCACGCATCTATATCTAATTTGCAGTGTTTTAGTAATTTCATACTTACAATCAAAAGGTTTCAAGAGTTAGCAACATAAAAATCACATTGAAAATTCATATATTCGCGTAACAACTTACAGTCGGTGGTTTATTAAAATCATCAACTTCTACAGTCATCGGCTCTGGCAAGTGTAATAACGCTAGAACTCAATTTTGCTGTAATGTCTTACTTAAACAGCTTTTCGTTATTACTTTCCTCAGGACTGCCTGCAATCATAGTTGCTGTATCTTTGGGTATCGCCATAGGAAATGATGGAATTGAAACTTTTGTCAATGATGAAAAGTAAGTTTGAAAGTTTGTTTACTTTATCGACTCTATACAAAATGGTGGAAGCCTGAAATTATAAACCTGCGAAAAAAAAAAGGGGGATGGGGAAAGGTAAAGGAGAAAGAACCTTATTGCCCTAGTGTCACCTTCCCTTTTCCCTGCCTCCTGTGATTTGTAAACCAGGACATGGGAATGCAAGAGCTTAATAACAGAAACCTGCAGCCTTTTTGACTGGCCTCCCTCCCCTTCCCTCCCCCTCCCCCCTTACCCCTTACCCACCAAGCACCCTCCTCTTTCAAGCTGTGGATCTCTCCATGTATTAGAGTAGAAAAGAGGGAGAGTTTGTAAATTATTATCCAACAGGGCGTAATTTTGGAAAGTAATATAATGGCAACATGCTGCATTAAAAAATGGTTTTGGATTTGACATTCTGCCATGAAACACCTTTAAATGCTGCTATCGATGTAGACAACAAATTAAAAGTTTGCTCTCCCGTGCCTTTTGTTTTTATAATTCTAAGCTGCTGGATGTCCTCCTCTAACAATATCATCTGGATATTTGTTTCCTTTGTTGGACTGATCGCAATTGTAAGTGGCAACAGATTGAATTTCTTCGATGGATACCAGTTTAGTCATCTGAAAATATTTGTTTCAACGTTGATTAGAACAACATTTTTTCGATCATTTCTATTCTCTTGATGAGTCTTTAAAATTCCTCTTTAAAAACTTTCAACAGAAGCAAGCAATAAAAAATATCCGACAGTTCCTTTTTTCCGTTTTTCATCTTCTCCCTCTTCTTTTGTTTTCCTTTTTAATAACTGAAGATTAACATGGTGATCCTCGTGCGAGTTATCAAGGAATTAACAACCACCCAACAGGTGAAGGAGAGCCAAACTGAGCAGATCAGGTGGGATAAATGGTGTCACTTCTCCCTAAATGCCTCCATAATGTCAATTTTTTTCTTTAAAGTGCTTGGACTTTAAATAGTATCGTATCATAGCTTGTTACAAAGAAAAACTGGCCTAGACAGGCTTGATAGGCTTTGAATGACGCCCTAGCACATAAAATATGGTGTGTTTTCGATGGACGGCCTTCAAACTGCTTCTTTTGTCACTCCCGACATTATATCGTGACTATTCATTGCCTTCAATTTAAGCTAAGAGTTTTCAACTTTTCTTTATATCGAATTCAGATGAACGCTTTTGTTTTCCAAGTGACTATTCATTCGGTCTCTTCCAGGCTTGGTGTCCGTGCATGCGTGGTGTTAGCTCCATTGCTGGGTGTCACGTGGCTGATTGGTTTCCTTGTGCCGTTACACATCGCCTTCTCCTACATTTTTGTAATCCTTAACTCCACGCAGGTAACGTCGTCTAAAACCTTAAAGGTTTTTTCAAGCATTTGGCTGCTCATGGGTAGAGATAAGAGCGTACTTACAACGTGATAGGCGTCAGAAATACTGAAAAGCGTCTCTATATCCCAGGATAATTCAGATTCACTCTTAGACACCAGACCCGTGACCCTCCGTAAATACACCGACTCGAGACCATTTAAACCTTCCTTTTGCACTTGTATTTTTATCTGCAAAGCCTGAGCTCTGCTTAATTATGATAGATTCGTATTTTCGGGAAAATAAGCCTCAGATAAGTAAACGATCGTAGATGAGAAGGAAAGGAGATCTCTAGCTGAGTTGTTCTACATAAAAAAACAAACAAACAAACAAACACACAAATAAACTGAAGAGTAAATCTAATTTTATTTCTGTAATTATTTGCTTATTTGTTTTTCTATCAACTGATAAAGTTTTATGTATATTTTGTTGAAGGGATTCTTCATTTTCTTCTTTCACTGCTTGGGAAATAGTGAGGTAAATATGAATTTTGAGTCTGTTATTCATATCAAGAAAAGCCGGTTAAACATAATGAGTACCTCTAATTTGACTTCTAATTCGTATCTAGATAAGGGGGCGTTTCAAAAGAAGAGTCCAAAAAATCCACCCAAGTGCATTTAATCAAAGGCAAGGTGACGACAGAGGAAACTCTCAAGCTCGTCACATTGATACTGGGATTCCTGTGCGGGATCGAGAGTAATTAACGGACTTTGAACTTTTATCTTGCCCATGGAATGGGAAAATACGAAATGGATTTACAAGCAGCGTCACTTATGTTGCTCAGGCTGTAACTAATTAAAGTTGATTCAATTTTTATTTATGCCCTTTTTTTTTTTTTAAGCCGCTAAGTAATTTTCTTAACCACAGATTTAGCTAGGGCAACGACACTTACCTGGCTACATTGGCATTTTATGGAATAACTATTTGTTTTAGAATCAAATTGCCAGAGAATACTTGTTTAAGATATACTGAGCAATAATTTAACCGGCAATCAGGCCTGAACCGTAAATATCAGCTTTGGTGCAATTTTGTTTTTTTTTTTTTTTTTTTTTTTTTTTTTTTTTTTTTTTTTTTTTTTTTTTTTTTTTTTTTTTTTTTTTTTTTTTTTTTGTTTTTTTTTGTAGGATATAACAATGAACTATACAGTAGAAAATTTTCTAACCTACAACCTTTGCAGGGTGCGTAGGATGTTGGTTTCTCTGTGTCACTATTAGATTTACTTGATTTCTCCGAAGCCTCCACAATATTCTTATGATTCCTTCCCTCCTCCTCCCCCCTCCCCTCCCCCTTTCCTCATCGGCAGTTTTTGGCGACCACTAACCGCCTCCATGTTCCCCCTTAAAATCGAGGTGATCGGAAGGCGCCTTCTCGATAATTTACGTTGAAATATCAGATTATGAACTACGCACAATGTAGAGAATATCAAAATTAAAGAATAAAATTTGGTATTCTGGTCATTACAGACATATCGCGTTGCTTAAAAGGACACACAAACATCGGAACACGAGGGAAGACACTGGAAATGTAGTAAAAGTATTTTTTAGCATCCAAAATAAAAAGGAAAATGTGAGGCAGTGACAGGAGACTGAGTGTTCAACGCCATTTGTCTCAAAAGCTGCCACCGGCTTGTTTTTGAACTGACTAAAATTCAATTTCTTTTGGTGCGAGACTCGAGGATTTCAAAACTTTGAAACGACGTACCATGAATCCTGGAAACTGTAGTTTTAGTCCATTGACAAAATATGCCGGCTGGTCTCATGAGCAGATCAAGCGTTGACAAAATTTGACAGCTTTGAAATTTTAAGCGGACGCAAAAAGTGAGGCAAAAATTTGTCATGACACAATTTGTCCTTTGATTATGTCAAAAGAATTCTGGTTTTGTCTGCTAGTGTAGATAGCCCAGACGGGCACTTACGAATCAATTTTTAGTTAAACTGCCTCACATTTTCCCTTGTGTTGTGGTTGTCAATTAGTAATTTCACCGCATTTCCAATGTTTCCTTAAGTGTTAGGATGTTTGGAACATACTAATAACTGTTTTATTTGTTCCATATCAACATTTTAAAAGATAAAATTCTCATTAAAATGAAAAGTTCTTCCGTCCATTTGAATAACTTTCGATTCTAATTCGTTATATTGACTAATTTTGGTTTCAATTCGTAGAACCCGCGAAACAGGTGATATGAAAAGGGGAAAAATTTGCCTAATCACGTCACGCAATACATCAAGCTGGGTCTGTCCGGTTGATTTTGATGGTCGCAAGGAAATGTCGAGTTTATCGCTCAAAACCGTTGTGGTCCACAACAGCGTAACACCATTAATGATGGAAATAAAATGGAAATAAAATTGCGGAAAGGAAGGCTAGTTCATCGGGTTCCGTGTGCTAAACCTCGGGAGAAACTGCAAGAATTCTTTCAGAGTGTATGCGTGTTGTTTGGTAAATATAAACACACATAAACGTATTTTAACTTATATTAAAGTTCACACGGCAACCAGGTGGACAATCAGACATAGTTTGAAGCTACACTGGTTTGCAGATTTAATGAATGTAACCGAAGAAGTTACAATTCATAGACCCAACGTTTCGACACTCCTGTCTAGTGCCTTCATCAGGGGTGATCTAAACGCTGCAACAAGAGGTCCTTTTATATGATCACTAATTAGCGGCCTTTTTTTCTGACGAGGTGTAAATAGGCGTCAGGAAGCAGACCGCCATCGTCACGATTTAAAGGAGCGTGGGCGGAGTTAATGTGCCAAGCCTCCAAACAAAGGCGCTGGTGGTAACGCCGATTAGTAGTGATAATTTTAGAATTATCCCACCCAATTGTATGGTTGGTTAGGCAAGTATGCTCCGATAAAGCTGAATTTTCCTTTTTGCAAAAGGACAAAAATCCTTTTTTGCTTGTTTGTCCTTTTTAAGCAACGCGATATGTCTGTAATGACCAAAGTACCAAATTTCATTCTTTAATTTTGATATTCTCCACACTTTGCTTAGTTCATAATCTGATATTTCAACGTAAATTATCGAGAAGGCGCCTTTCGATCACTTCTGTTTTTTTTTGTAAGTCATGCAAGCGCGCAAGCGTTGCAACCGATAACGTTTACGTAACGTTTAAGGACAAGTCGGCATCTATTTTCCACTCAGTTGTTATCAAAACCTAAAATCCTCAACTTAGAACGTAAACGAACGAAGTTTAACGGTGAAAAGGAGATCTTGATCAATTTTCAGAATTATGCAAGCGATCTTTGACACAAGCGCAATTGAGCAACTACATGGATTTGCGTTGTTTTTAAGATGTTGGTGGACGGAAGTTAGAGATATACCTGCGGGTTTAATTTTAGGTAATCTGTGATCTCATCGGTGTATAAACTTTGAACTGGTATGCTTTTTCAGCCCGATTAACGCCTGCATTTTGAGAATTCTTTCGTACAAATTAGTGAATTTTTTGATACACAAAGTAAGGTCGAAGAGAAGGGTCTCCTAATCACGCTGGTATGAAAAATGTTTCAGCTGAAGTTTCTATATTTTGTCTGTGAACTAATTGAATACATCTTGTAATTTGTAGCTAGATAGTATTCCGCGAGCTATATTATTGCAGTCGCTGCGCTCTGAACAAAATCTGTGAAATTTACACTTTCGATCGCTGTCCACTGAAGTGGTCTGGCCAAACATACTTTCTGGCTTGTGGCGACGCAAGAAAAGAGAATTAGAGAACAGCTAAATTATTTTGGAAAAATGTGTCCTAAACCCTTTTCATGGGCAAAAAATTAAAATTAAACTTTACTTTGTTTTTTGTTTTTTTTTTTCCGACGGGAAGTCGAGAGGACCGTCCTTAGCGAGAGCGGCACGAAAAATTATTCATTTGCCACTTGTTTGTTCGCTAAAACATCAGATAAATATTACAAAATAAACTACACAGCTGGAAATATCTGATGCAAAATTGGATCTGCTCCATACATCATTAAAATAGATTGAGGAAAGAAAAGCTTTCCTCTCACGTTTGGGTCTCCGCGGTGCATCTCAAGCTTGGAATGATGAAAGCGCTTTGGTATGCGTTAGGAGTTAGTTCAGTTTATTTCATGACGGTCGATTTAGGTGAGTATATTATCATCTTTAACTTGACTTCTCTACTTTCTAATTAGCGCCCCTAGCTAAAAGCTCATCGACAGGAAGCTGTTCTTTACGGTTCAAATCCTTCAAAACCGAAAAAAGATAATAAATGAATGGATCACATTTAGAGAGATATGCGTATTTCCTGCAGTTTTGCGGGGTACATATATTTCCTTTCATATATTCCTTAAACGGAAAACATTTGTGATCAGTTGTCCATCCGAAGTTGTGTATACCACTAATGTGGACAACTTTGGTAAAAAAAACACAATACAAACAACCGATTTTTTTCGATTTAAATAAAAACCAGTAGATTTTAGTTAATTATTGTTGCCTTTGGGATTAAAAAGAAAAATTTCTAAAACCGATTTATGTCATAGATACTGACGCGTAATGATATACCACACGACTAATATTACATAGAATTCATGTCAAATTATTTTGCATTTTGAACTTCTCGTCTCATCCCTTATGTCATGTATTTTATTGAATTCAAATTGGTTTTGTTTCACGACTGCTTGAATTGTCGGATGTGTTTCCTAGTTGCAAAGACTTATTTTGCATGAGATGCATTTACACCTGGTTCAAAACCGTTGTTTTTGAGTAGTCATCGATTAACAGAAGAACCCTACTTACATTTTGCGACATTTCCTTCACGTGACAGATATGCCTTAATATAGCATTATGTTAATTTTTAAAAGATGTCAACATCACGAAGATATGTCGGCAAAAAGTGTCTGTCAGCTTTTACTTTGGAAATGAAGAGAAAATTAAAATATTTGAAGAATAAAATGGGAATAGCAGATCCTTGGAGATATTCTAAGTATCACGATTTAACCTAACTGAATCAGTTTCAATCTCAGGCTTTTCTCTTAAGGGAGAAGTATTCTTCTAAAACCATTCTCTCCTTTTTCCAAACTGTCACTTCAAAATTTTTTTAATCTTAAGAGTTTAAGATTTCTATTACATCAGTTTATTGCGTTTGATAGAATGCGTACTGTCTGTGTTGCTTCTTTGTGGATGTCGTGCAATTATCAGGGATTAGGCACCATCTTGGACTGGCTGACCTCCAACCTCGATTTCATGCGAAAACTTTGAATCCCGTGTGCTATGGCTAGATGACCCGCGATTTGACTCCCATTGATCTAGATGCCATGGGACGAGTGTAGACGAACTGTGACCAGTTAACCATTCGAAATAAATTACTATAGATCGGATATGTGCGTCATGCAACCATTAGGTATTCGTAGGTTTGATTACACCCTGGATTTTTGTTACGCAGAGAAAAAAAATTATCATTTCTAATTATAAGCTAGACTGATGGCTCTTTAGTGGTGAATGATTATTACCAGTTGTTATTGGTGCCCTTTTAATCCAAGGTAACCGCTTTTTTTTCCTTTCTTATTCCGCAGTTGTTCAAAGGGGCTGGGCAATGGCAGAACGAAGTAAGTGCCCATTATCAGCTAGCTTGAGCAAAGTTGAAAAAAAAAGATGAATGACCAAAACAAATCTCAAGTGGGTGGATGGGCTGTAAACTATTTATTTCATTCCGCTTTGTTTAAAAATGAAGTGCTCATTTACTCTCTTTCGCTGCAAAATTTATTTTCTTGCAGATGATAAGTGTGTAAATGCCCCGTTCTTGAAGCAGAGTGAATGTAGTGGTTCCAAATGCAAAGAACGTCTTAAGAGTAAATGGCAGAGAATAAAATGCTTACCGTTTTCCACCAGCGGTCGCAAAGGTCTATGCTCTAAATGGTGCCATGAAGGAGGGACATCGACTCAGTCTTGCTATGATGCATTTCATAGATTTTCTTCAGAACAAATCTATTTCAAGAACGGCGACGAAAACTTCAAATTTGAAGTAGTATACTGTAGATCTTTCGAATTTATCATTAGGCTAGAAAGGGTGCTCTCGAGTAAGTATTTTCCCTTCCTTTTTATGAGTGATCCTTTCTACCTCATTTTTTCTTATTATCATTCTTCTTCTTGTTATTATTACTTTATTATTGTTATTGTCATCACTATAACAAAGGAATTGAAAGACCAGAAGTTACAATTCAACCAGCCATAAATTTAACCATCAATGATGCAAAACAGCAGTTTAGAACTTCAATCCAAAGCATTTGGTCCAACAATTCACATGGGGACACAAATTCAACACAGGATCAAAAACTGGAGGATACTGTCTTTGCTGCGTTCATCTTTGAATACTTTATATTAAGCATTGCCAGAGAGCGGCTGCACGTTACAAATCCCGAATTTATTGATGTGGATGAAGATCTGAGTAAGTGCAAAATAGCCTTTCCTCTTTTTTTTTTCGGAAATGAACTTCATCATGCACGTGTTCAGGCAAGCAATGCATGTACATTAAGAGCCAGCACCACTATCCTTCACATCAGCTAAAACGAAGAAAAATTCTGATATCTCTTCGTGTGCAGCATCAGAAGAATTAAGTTGGAGGAAATGCAACTAAATAAATTCCAGTCATGCTGGTCATCGCCTGTACTGAGCTGTAGCATTTGAATCACATATTTTGCTTTCTTATCAATATAGACTTTCGAGTTAGACGCAATGACCTCCAGAGAGGAGATGACTTTCTGTTTCATGGAAGCAGTCGCGGGAACTTTATTAAGATTCCCTCAGCTAATCTGGATCGAGGTAAAAACCCTTCCTTGGTTTGAGTCAGTTTATTTCAAGACCATTGCTCATAATTTCTTGAACAACTCTTCAGCGGAAATGGCTTCATTCCGACGTGCAATAACAAATTTGCAATATGTATTATAACATAGCTAGTAAATTTGTGTAATCAAATTCAACTGCGCGAGCGTGCTTCATATTCCTATTGTGCATGCTCGTGACGTCAGGAAACAAATCTGTCGAGAAAAAAATTGAAAATATTAGAAAACAATTGGTTCATACGTCATTTCTGTTTCCAAAGATGCAAAAACGACCATGAGTTTTAAATGCTTTGAGCAATTGAATTGAACAATTGAAGCACTTGGGAAGTGAGCATCTTTCGTGCTCTCCAAACTTCCCGCATGCTTCATATCTCGATGAACGTTCGTGACGTATGAACCAATTGTTAATTAGTGTGCACTTAATACAGGAGGTATTGTTTTCTTTTTCCCTTTTTCCGTCCATCTTAGTCAAAATCGTTTTCTGTTTTGAAATTTCTCAAGCCTTTTTCTTATCCTTTCTTTTCTCTTTTTTTAGGTTTCATTACGAAGAAACTTTATGGTTTTTGACAAATTTTGAATATTGCGCTTTTTTCATGATCCAGCTGTCTATAATGACATTTGTGCCCAGAGCATTTAAAACCTATGGTCGTTTTTCAAAAAAATTGCATCTTTGGAAACAGGAATCAATACATTTCTCATTTCTCTTTTAAACAGACTCTACAGTACTTGGGCTCGAATACACCAACCTTTCTAAGCTTTTATCAAACTATTCAGCTGACACTGAGAGAGACAACACAACAAAGTATGTGTATTTTATTTTGATAACTGAAAATGAAATAGGAAAAAAGCATTTTACTATTTTTGATCATTCAATCTGTTTTATTTCAGGATACTTGACAGTGTAATTATGTCCGCCGTAACAAACGCTCCGCCCAAGGTTCTACCAGAAAACATCACACTGGTTTTTAAGAACATGCAGGTATATCCGCGACTCGTTCGTTATCTGTTTATCGTTTTTTTTGTTTTTTTTTTTTGAATTGGAGTTTTCTTGTTTGTTTGTTTTTTGGTTTGTTTCATCAAAGGGAAACACCAATAGTCCATTCATTCCTCATTTGGGTGAATATGTTGTCATCTTTTCCCTCAGTTCAAACTAAGATTTGATGACTTGCCCATAATTTAAAAACTGCCCATGACCTGATTAATAAATCAGCATTACATCCCATAAGGCTTCCTGCAAATTTTTAAATTTCGTCACCTTGAAGCCACCACACAGGGGGGAGGGAAGGGGGGGGGGACTACGAGACACTGGCAGCCCTCTTCGATTTTACATCGAAGACTTGAGGAATTCGAATTGAAAAACAAATTAACAAATTCGTTTTTGCTGAGTAACAAATTTAGACTTCGTTAATGGAGTGGATCCTAGAGACCTCCATGTTGAGAATTACTTTTTAACTTGGAAGGTTACATTAATATTCTATAACTATGACGCCTTCTACTAGCTACTAGTGAAGCATCACCGAGGTGAACGCTCTTTGAATCACAACACTTGATTCTTTTTTTTTTTTTTTTTTTTTTCCAATAGGTGAATCGTAAAAAAAGAACATGTGTATTCTGGAGCTTCTCAGAAGAAAAGTAAGCACCACAGTAACATAAAATTTATAACCAACGTAAATTCTACCAGTTTTTCATCTGGAAGAAAGCTAAAAGTATCAGAAATCACTTTAGTGCAATTAGTAGAGGGGGTTTTTAATCGAATGAGTTATTTTGACTCCTATCTACTTTTCAAATTATTTTTTAAAGCTTTGGGAGTTGGTCAAGTGAAGGATGTCAAACAAAGTTGATATCCGATCATTACACGGAATGTGTTTGCAATCATCTCACCCACTTCGCTGTGCTCATGGATTTCACCGACAATGCTGATGACGGGAAGGTGAATATTTTTTTTCCTCCAAAATAGAATCATATGAATCTAAAAAAGGTACATAGAAGCTTAAAAAGTTTGGCATTTATTTGTATTTGTTAATATAGACATTTCCTTTGATGCAAAAAAAATAAGTATGACGTTTACAGTTTTTCAATCAGGATAAAACTCTTTCGTCATATGAGCATCACAAAATACTGACACTCCTCACTCGAGTGGGGATGGCTTTATCTCTCATTGGAGTCATACTCACAATTATCAGCTATCTTCAGCTCACGTAAGTACACTTAATTAGCACTGATATCTAACTGTATTGTGGAAAATTAACTATACCTAAAAGGATGGAAAATAAGCCATCAAATCAGTTCTGGATCGCTGTCAGTACAGACCGCTCGTATCATGAAAAGAAATCAAACGTTTTGAGATGATCTTTCTTAAAAAAATGATATTTTAATAGAAACTTTCTGGTCAGCATTCTTTTATCCATTCGCTATTCACTAATTACTTCATGTAAAAATTGTATTATGCCAGCATAGTTATTCCTTGCAATTGTCTTTTTGACCTTGGCTTTTTTCTGACTGCTAAATCAATTTCATTTCGTTACCATTTATTGACTTGTTTGTAGAGACAGAAATTTACCTTTGTGTCACATACGGGTTAGTCTGACATCCTGCATTGGAGCAGGACATATCATCTTTTTCGCTGGAATCGACTCCACTGGAAACCAGGTGACTCTTTGATCTCCTACTTTCTTGTTGCTTTTTTAAGGTTGCTGTTCTTGTGATTTTTTTGTTTGTTTGTTTGCTTGTATTTAATTTGGTCCGGCTTCTTAATGATTTGAAGACTGACTGATCCATCGAGTGATTCTTTTTTCTTGTTCTTGTTCTTTTTTTCTTTTTTCTTTTTTTTATTTTCGGTTTTGTATGTTTTCTATATTATAGTTTTGCTTTGTTCATTCTGTTTACTTTGGTTTTTGTTTCTTTATGTTTTTCGGATTATTATTTCGGCAAATACCATTTGACGGGAAAATTATGACATTTTTACGGATTACCTATTTCTTGCAGGCTGCTTGTGTAGCTGTGGCAGCTCTTATGCAGTATTTCCTGATGGCCAGTTTTTGCTGGATGCTTGTCGAGGGGATTTATATCTATTTATTTGTTGTAAAGGTTTACAACATTAGCGATAAAATGCATCGCTATCATGGCTTTTGCTGGGGTGAGGAGCAAGAAATGAACAAATGGGATAGGACTTGAAGAAATACTTGAGGAAATATCTCGATTCTGATTTGCGAAAACCAAACTGAACAAAAATATCTTAAAACGGCTTTGTTTTTTAATTCTTCAAATGAACACACGCATTTTTTGGAAACCATTGGATCGTCTCGAGTTGTACCTGAGTTAATCGTAAAATATTCCCGGTGCTCATTAGAGTTAGTTGTAAATGCAAATTTAGTTGGCTGAAGTCACGCAGCTATGTCTAATTTGCGGTGTTTTAGTAATTTCATACCCACAACCAAAAGGTTTCAAGAGTTAACAACATGAAAAATCACATTGAAAATTCATATAATCGCGTAACAACTTACGGTCGGTGGTTCATTAAAATCATTAACTTCTACAGTCATCTGCTTTGGCAAAAGCAATAACACTAGAACTTGATTATTTTTGCTGTAATGTCTTACTTAAACTGGCAGTCTTTCATCATTACTTTCCTCAGGACTGCCTGCAATCATAGTTGCTGTATCTCTGGTAATCGCTGCAGGAAATGATGGAATCGAAACTTTTGTCAATGATGAAAAGTAAGTTTGAAAGTTTGTTTATTTTATCAACTCTATACAAAATGGTGGAAGCCGATTTTATGAACCTGAAAAAAAAAGTTGGGAAAGGGGGAAGGTAAAGGAGAAAGAATCCTGGTGCCCTAGTATGACCTTCCCTTTTCCCTGACTCCTATAATTTGTAAACCAGGACTTTAGGGAATGCAAGGGCTTAATAACAGAAACCTGCAGCCCTTTTAACTGGCCTCAGGCACCAGGCACCAGGCACGCCCTTCTTTCAAGCTGCAAGCTGTGGATCTCTCCATGTATTACAATAGAAGTAATGGAAGAGTTTCTCAAAATAATATAATGGCAACATGCTGCCTATATATATTTATATATATATATGCTGCTATATATATATTAAATATATATCCCCTGTGCCTTTTGTTTTTCTAATTCTAAGCTGCTGGATGTCCTCCTCTAACAAAGTCATCTGGATATTTGTTTCCTTTGTTGGACTGATCGCAATTGTAAGTGGCAACAGATTGAATTTCTTCAATGGATTTGAGTTTAGTCATCTAAAGATATTTGTTTCAAAGTTGATTACAACAGCATCTTGACAATCATTTCTGTTCTCTTTGAATAGGAATGAGTCTGAGTCTTTGAAAGTCCTCTTTAAAAAATTACAACATAAGCTAGTGCAACAAAAATATCCGATATTTCATTTTTTCTCTTTTCATATTCTCCATCTTCTTTTGTTTTCCCTTTTAATACCTGAAGATTAACATGACGATCCTCGTGCGGGTTATAAAGGAAGTAACAACAATCCAACAGGTGAAGGATAGCCCGACTGAGCAGATCAGGTGGGCTAATAATAGTTACTTCTCCCGCCTCTTAAATGCTTCCAATCAACAAAAAATCTAGCATCATAGCTTGTTACAAAGAAAAACTGGCCTGGAATTGATGGGCTTTGAATGACGCCCTAGCACATAAAATATAGTGCGTTTTCGATGGACGACCTTCAAACTGCTTCTTTTGTCACTCCCGAGATTATATCGCGACTATTCATTGCCTTCAATTTAAGCTAAGAGTTTTCAATTTTTCTTTATATCGATTTCAGATGAACGCTTTTGTTTTCCAAGTGACTATTCATTTGGTCTCTTACAGGCTTGGTGTCCGTGCATGCGTGGTGTTAGCTCCATTGCTGGGTGTCACGTGGCTGATTGGCTTCCTTGTGCCGTTACACATCGCCTTCTCCTACATTTTTGTAATCCTTAATTCCACTCAGGTAAAGTCATCTAAAACCTTAAGGGTTTGTTCAAGCATTTGGCTGCTCATGGGTAGATATAAGAACGTACGTATAACGTGATAAGCGTCAGGAATACTGAAAAGCGTCTCCATATCCAAGAATAATTCAGATTCACTTTCACATACCAGATCCGCGACCCTCCGTAAAGAAGCCGACTGGAGACCATTTAAACCTTCCTTTTTCCCTTGCATTTTCATCTTCAAAGCCTTAGCTCGGCTTAGTTATGATACTGGAGTCACCATGAATCGATTACATCTGACGGATAGAATTGTATTCGGGAAAATAAGCCTCAGATAAGTAAACGATCATAGCTGATAAGGAAAGGAGACCTTCAGCTGAGTTGTTCTAAAAGACACAACCCTACATTCACGACAAAAAAAAAACAAACAAACAAACAAAAATTTTAAAAAAAGTGGAAAGCTTCTCTTATTTCTGCATCTATTTGCTCGTTTGTTTACCTATTAACCAATGAAGTTATATCTATATTTTTTAAAAGGGATTATTCATTTTCTTCTTTCACTGCTTGGGAAATAGTGAGGTAAATATGAATTTTGAGTCCCCGTATTTCATATCAAGAAAAGCTGGTTACATATAATGAGTGCCTGTTATTTGACTTCTAATTCCTATCTAGATAAGGGGGCGTTTCAAAAGAAGAGTCCAAAAAATCCACCCAAGTGCATTTAATCAAAGGCCAGGTGACGACAGAGGAAACTCTCAAGCCCGTCAAAGTCACAGTGATACTGGGATTCCTGTGCAGGATCAAGAGTAATCAATAGACTTTGAACTTTTGTCTTGCCAATGGAATGGGAAAATACTAAATGCATTTATAACCAGCTTCACTTCTGTTGCTTAGGCTTTAGCTGATTCAAGTTAATTCAAGTTGTATTTATGCTTTTTTTGAGTAATTTTTTCTTAGCCCCAGGCTTAGCTAGGTTGATGATATTTAGCCACACTTACCTGGCATCGTTGGCATTATATGGAATAATTATTTGCATTAAAATCAAATTGCCCGAGAATACCAGTTTATATACTGATTACGAGTTTGATATACTGATTAATCATTTAACCGGTAATCAGGTCTGAACCGTAGAAATCAATTTTGGTGCAATGAATATTTATTAAGTATACAAATAAAGTTCGTAGTATATAACAGTTAACTGTATAATGAAGACTTTACTAAACTACAACATTTCTGAGCTGATGAAGAGAACATAAAAACAACCCTACACAAACCACATACCTAGGGACCGATCATCGTTTATCGTCAGGGAAAGGAGGGGCTTGGGTGAAGGGAGGGGGCGGGGTGCGTTGGATGTGTCACTATAAGATTGTGTCCCTATAAGGTTTATCTAAGGCTCGATAGCCTGCTTGTAGCCGTACCCTCCCCTGATGGTAAAACGGAATGGACGGAACTAAAATCTGACACTAATCGTGTTCCACGACGTCACTCTAATTTATGCAAAAAAATTGTCTCTTCATAATGTTTTTTTTGCGAAGTGACACGTATTGGCGAGGTTATCGAGATCAACAATAACATTTAAGTGAATTCATTCTCCATTTGCGGGTAAATTTGCAATTCAGCGTCCGAGCTCAACTGTATACTTTGTTTTAAGGATATAGGAAAAGATTATGAGCGATTTTTGGTATGGAGTAAGAAGAGGACGATGTTCGATTAGCATCGCGTTAACGAAACTAGATTTCAACGTTCACGCGGTTTCTGCTTGAATTCGTAAACAGTGCCACGGTCGTCGAAAAGAGTTGGATCATTTGTCACAGAATCTCAAGGATTTCATGGATTTCTATAAGAGATAGTTACGCTGCAAGCGTGAAGAAAGAGCGACTCTTTTCTCAGTCCAAAGAATCGCTGCAAGGGACAACTAGTTTTAATTTAGCTTCGCAGCACCGTTCGCAAAGAGACCGAAAGTTGAAGGTGGACAATCCTCTCGGCGTAAATCGTAAAACATTTAGTTCATCTTCTTCTTCGTTAAGATAGTGCACCTGGTCTTCTGTGAAAGCTTTAACGTACGGCACAATAAATATTGTGACCGCTTTCTTCTAGAGAGGAGAGGCGATCGATCACTGGCGCTGCTTGATATAATAAAGATTTTTCATAGCCAATTGGTAACAAAAAGAAGACATCGTTACTTTCGAAAAACTTAATATCTATTGCTTTCTGCTGTTCTTCTTGAAATGTCTCTATCCCAAAGTTCGCGTAAACTTGAGGATATTTATCTCTTAAAAACTATACCTCGCACGAAGCATACCCCGTGGAGACCCACTAACGGGGACGTTTCTTTAAATTCGTGGATATACGAGGTAAAGGAACGAGTAATTAAGGGACTCGATATTCAAATTTTGTGGCATTGGCAGCGGCCTGAGGAGTCCGGGGTGCGTAGGGATCTTATTAAATATGGTGGACTGATCATTAAACATCGCAGATCAATTTAGGAGGACTTCTGTGGACTGAAGCTCAAATCTGTCTCCAGGAATCAGAGGATCCTCAACCTCACATAATACCTCCTTCTATCTTGATTATTTTTTTCTTTCAAGAAGCATGTAGATATTTTGTTCGTAAAGTTAAAGAATTTGCTGATAGATCAATTTCGTGGTATGTTTCGATTTCCATTAACAGCGTGTTAGTTAGCATGCGGTATAATAAGGATCAGTTGGCAATTACTCCCATCCGGGACTGTAAGACCTAAAACGTCAACAGAAAAGCTAGTTATTCCTGTTTTTTTCTTCGGAGCACCCGGATGCATTACATCATTACCTGGCTATACTCCATTCAAGACGGAAAAAAAATAATCGGCCTATTGTTTGTTCGCTAAAAAGATCACATTAATATTACAAAATAAAATACACAGCTGGAAATATCTGGTGCAAAATTGGATCTACTCCATACATCATTAAACGTGGATTGAGGAAAGACAAGCTATATTCTGACGTTTGGGTCTCCGCAGTGCATCTCAAGCCTGGAATGATGAAAGCACTTTGGCACGCGTTAGCATTTAGTTCAGTTTTCTTCATGACGGTCGATCTAGGTGAGTGGGTTAACATCTTTAACTTGACATCTCTACTTTCTAAGTACCACTCATCGAAAGAGACTGCTCCTTACTTTTAAAACCCTTCAAAACCACTGACATAATTTATGAATGGATCACATATAGATAGATATGAGTATTTCCTGTCGTTTTTTGGAGTACAAGTTAATATTTCTCCCATATTCCTTAAACGGAAAACATCCCAAAGTTGCGGTATATCGCCAATATGGACAACTTTGGTAAAAAAAAAACAATGCAAAACAATTAACTTTTTCGGTTAAAATAAAATCCAGCAGATTTTCGTGGATCATCGCTACCTTTGAGATAAAAATTGTCAAAGACCGATCTATGCAATAGATACTTACGCGTAATGATATACCACATGGCTAATATTACATAGAATGCATGTCAAATTATTTTGCATTTTAAACTTCGCCTCATCCCTTATGTCATGTATGTCACTGAATTCAAATTGGCTTTGCTTCGACTGCTTCGACTTCACGAATTGTCGGATGCGTTTCCTCGCTGCAAAGACTTATTTTGCGTGAGATGCAACTAAGCCTCGTTAAAAAAAAAAGAGTTTTTTTTAATTGTCATCGATAAACAGAAAAACAATACCTAAATTTTGCGACATTTCCCTTGCATCACATATAACGAATTTATGCTTAAATTTTAGCATTGTGTTAATTTTTAAAAGATGTCAACATTACGAACAAATGTCGGCAACAAGGGTTGAAAAAGAGTCTTTCAGCTTTTACGTTGGAAATGAAAAGAAGAATAAAATGTTTGGATTATAAAATGGGAATGGCAGACCCTTTAGAGATATTTTAAGTATCACGATTTAACCTGACTGAGGCAGTTTCGATCTTAGGCTTTTCTCCTAAGGGAGAAGTATTCTTCAAAAACCGCTCTCTCTTATTTTAAAATTGTCGCTCCAAAACTTTACCTCGAATGACTTACTTGTAATCTTCCGTCTTCTTTGAATTTTTGAATTTTCGAATGTTAATGGCTGGATTGTGCAACTCGTTAAGCAGCAGTACAAGCGCGGTATGCCGCTATATTCATATCCCGTCTTAATGACACTAGTTCAACTTGAAAACAGTGTTAGCTTACTAGAGATAAAAAATTTTTCGTGCACAGCGAAACGGGAGCCGTTCTGTGTAAATTGAAAATTCGTTTGAATAGGACCGTTTTGCCAAATTACACAGAAGTAGTTGCGTCAAATGTTTGAGATGCTCCGTTTTCAATGTATAACTACATCTGACGTAGTATAAATGACAAAACCAAGTAGAACCATGGTCTGTCGAGACGAAAGACTCAAACTTGAGACATGAGCTTTTAAAAATTCACTTTGAACGGTTAATCAAGCTTCAGCCACTTCTTTTGGTTTAGATCGAAAAAGTTTATCAGGTAAAGTGTGTTATTAATAATTGTTATTTTTGGCGTTTTTTATAGCTGTCCAGAGAAAGCAAACACAAGATGAGTTTATTTCCCTTCTGACTGAAACCAATAGTAACTCTAACAGGATGCTGCTATTTCCGGTGTTCAAAACAATTCAGTAGACCTCTATTTTTCTTTGATATGCTTCGTTGGCAGGGAACAAATGCAAAGATATCCACTCCAAAGACTCTTCGTTCAGGAAAAGAACAACTTGTTCGAGACTTAAAAAGGATGGACTGCTAGGCCGGTGGAATTGGAGATGCTATAGCTTCCTTCCAAATACTTCCCTTCACTGGTGTTGTAAATCATTAGGCCGATGTCTTAAACTCAACAAAGTTACTAGAAACTGTTCTCGCAATCTTCAATTGGAAATCTTCAAAATTTTACGTTACTTGATGGTAAAAGAAAGTGGGGGATTTATATCAGACGCGACTTTGGTCAAGGAGAGCGTTGCAATCGCATTTTATTCAAAGCATTTAGAAATTGGGGTAGGTGAACGAAAACTTGCCATGGGTTAAATTAACACTATCAGCATGCTAGTTCACTAACATATTAGTTTATGCTCAGTATGCGTATATCGAGGTATGAATGCACGAGGGAAGTTTGGAGAGCACGAGAGAAGCGTAAGAGTTACTCGAGGCGCAACTTCAGCTTCTCGAGACCAAATCTCTATTGAAAGATTTGTTAATTTTCAGCTCAGAAGCTAAAGACGAACGGATTTCTTGCGTGTAAGAGACAGCGTAGAGGGCTTAGTGCGCTTGAATCGTTGTTCATTTTAATTCATGGCCAGAAAATTGCGAGGGTTTGTGTTCAAAATTATGCACATTCTGACATTATGCAATTTAAATTACGCTATTGAATAATACTTTTAGGAAATATCAACACTTCGAAACAATATTTATTGTTCGAAAAGCAAAACGAAAAATGTACAAATTTCTTGCATTTTCATTTTGAGCTCAAAAATGTATGCAACGGAAAACAAACTTAAAAGGTGTGAAACCTCTTGGCTAAATTCGACGGGAACTTGTAGACGAAAGTGAAACTGTACATGTCTTGTTATGGTTACATGAGGATTGATAACATTTTGATTTACCACAGTAGCTCGTTAATTAGGAATATAGGAAGGACTTGCGCCCGCGATATGCTATAATATGGTAACGATTACCTAACTCTCACTTTTTAGGGCAACACTTCGTCTGGCAATTATTTCCCACGAATGCCAAATCTTTCGCTAAGAGAAATGAGGGAAAAAACGAAACCAAACAAAAAAGGGAAACCACAACGAAGCAAAGCAATTAAAAAATATATATATAAACAAACAAAACATCGCTTATTTACCTCCAATTCCACTTTTCCGTCAATTATTCTCGCAGGAAACATAACGGAGCAGGAAGAACATGGAAAGGTAACGGCTAAAGATTCATAATTAGAGCAATACTGAAAGCATATCTGATATATAAATTGACTTAAAAAACTGGTTAACTCGTATGAGGAGGGCAAATCATTGATTAACTAAATGACTGTCTGCCTGACTGACTGACCAACTGATTGACTGACAGATTTTAAAATCTGGAAGATTGACTGAAAGATTGGCAAACGTGACTGATTGATTCATTGTTTGAGCCCTTGTTTATTTATTTGGTCCATTTAGAGGCGTCGTATTCTGGATTTTTACAGAAATCTTGACCCTAAGAAGATGAAAGATTTTCAGGTAATGCAGTTTGATAATGATATTGCTTTTCCAGAATAGAACACACAGGAACTGCATGAAATTATGTTGTCGCCAATAGCAAAAAAAAAATAGCGAGGCACAAAAAACGCGATGCAATACGTTACAGAAGGGTTCCAAGCTACGTAAGTAAACCAACCCGTACAATCCACTGCTATAGGCTGCCTGAGAACTCGAATGAAATCCGAATCATCGGGCGTGCCAGCCATATACATGTCCCGTATTTAAAGTTTGTATCTAAAGTATCTAAAGATTTCGCAACATTAAAAATTCGCCTCTAACTGGATTTAACCCTTTAGCTCCCATGAGTGATCAAGACAGAATTTCTCCTTACAATATCAATACAATATCAAGCAGACAAGCAAATAGAATAAAGAACAATATCAATTAGGGAAATATTACCTGATCCAGTACCAAATTCTCTGAACTAGCATTACAAGAATTATGTAGCAGACAGTAAGGAGAATTACAAATGAGATCTTGGAAGTTAAAGTGTTCATGTAGTTTACCCCATCTCGAAGATTTTACTCTGTCAAAAACTAATGGCTCGTTACAACCTTTAAAACTTCAAGGGCAAAATTGATTGCAATGATGAAAATGAAAGATAACTTTTTAAACCACTCTAGGTATATATCTGCCAATAACTCTCCTTCGATTCCTATAAACAGGCCGCGTTCTCTTTACTCAAAAATGTAACGTCGTCCAGTACAAAGTTTTACGCGATGTTCTCCACATTGGCTTTTGAGGACTTCCTGAGGAGACACATTCAAGCACATTTGAACACTACAGTTACCAACATTTCCTTCTCAAGCGAAGTCGCAGGTAAACCTTATGAAGAAAATGATGATGAAAATAAAAAAACAAAAAAACAAAAACAAGCAAAAAAAAATTAACTTTACGGCCCCACTCAATGTCCACGCAGGCTTGTCCCTTGTAGCCCTCTTGGCTATTTTTTTTACTTCCGCTTTGAATAATTTAGTTACTTAGCTTATCCTTTGTTCCAAATAGGTAGTGTTACTTAATTTATAAACTAAATTCTACAAAATGATGTCTTCCTTCTTACCTGATATTGAGGAAAATGAAGTAATTATTGGAAAATTTTACTGGATGAGTCTTACTTTAAGCTGGGACAAGACCAATCGCACTCAAGCAGAAAGAAAGGAGATATATGGGGCTTAATATTCTACTATCGGACTAAATCGACACCCTAAAAACACGTATATCTAAATAGTCTTGAGATTACATGGATTTCTTTTTTTTTTCTGTATAACCCGTAATCGTAGATGTTTTTGCCAGTCGCCCTCACCGGGACAGGGGCAAAAAATTTCGTTTTGCTGATCCCAAAAACGAAAACTTCGTGGAAATTTCATATCGAAACACCGACGAGAATGGTGAGTATGTTAAGGCGTAATCTCACTCAGTAATATCTGAACCCATGATTAAAATTTTTTTGTTATCCGATGGCAGTAATATCATGGCGGAAGAGATAGATCGAGAAATAGGTGTGAAGAAAAGAGAAGGAAAAAAAACAAAAACAAAAAAAAAAAACACAGACTTATCTTTGAAATCGAGGCGCAAACAATTCCACGGTGCAGTTCTGCCAAACATAGAATAAGAAAAGAGAGGAAGTAAACAAAATATCTTCGACCATATTTGAAACTTTTTTAACACACCATGGGGGGGAGAGAGGATCAGTCGTTGCCTACAGAGAGTAAAGGAGGGGAGGGGTTGAACTATAGAAAATTGGCTGCCAATCAACCCCAGTGAGGGGGGATCAGCTTATCGAGACACAATCAAAACCCTCTGACAGCTCCCACGCCAGCAAATAAATATTGACCGTTACCTTAGTTATCATTTCATTCAATTTAATTCCATCAAGGCTCAATGGTTGTAGGAGTAATGTACAAAAATCTTACCGAGTTGTTTACATCAGACAAGAACACCAGAGGAACCAACAAAACAAGGTTTGTATTTCAGCAGCAAGAAAATCAAATACGTTTGTTAAATCAAAGTATAAAGACTGCTGTAAAAAAAATTATAAAGAAAAAACTAAAATATACAACATCCTTCACGTGTATGGCGAAGATAATGATTACATCCAAACCTACCTCATGGTTTTAAATTATTGTCTCTTTTCAAAAACCAAGGCTCAGAAGTAGAGGTGAGCAAGCATTGACAACTTTTGCAAGAGATTTTAATACATTTTACATATTTTTTTTGTTTTGAATAAATGTATTTACATATTTGTTTGCTTCGAAGCTATTTAAAATTTCATTTAGTATTTTTTTGTTGTTTTTGTTATCAGGGTGCTGAACTCCATAATCATGTCCGTTGAAATGTACCCCGAGCCTGCAGATGTACTGCTGGAGAACATCACCTTGGTTTTTAAACACATAAAGGTATGTACATCACCTTTACAATGAAAGAAATTCACATCCCCCTTTTACACCTTGTTAAATCTGTAGCTTTCTCCATAACAGTTTGCCTGACACTCGAAACGTTAGCTCTGTAATCTCTCTACGGTGGGCAATTCACGGTATCAACTCAGCTAATAACGCTCAACCATCTCATGATTTTAAGCTTGTGTATAAAATCTTAGATTTTAAACTTTATATTTCCCATCAAGAGATTATAGACTGAGTTTAAACTTCCTCTTGATTCGTACTTTTTAAATTTATTTCAGGCCGGTGGAAAAAGCAGAGAGTGTGTATTCTGGGACATGTTTGGAGATGGGTAAGGCTCGCTATTTTCGGCCGAAATTTACTTCTTGCACAATTACACGAGATGTCTTTCTACACCTACATGTATTGTGTTGGCCATTTAGACAGCTTTGTTAGATTCTATACCCTGGAACTAAACCACATAAATTTTCTTTTATTTTTTGTATAAAGTCCCGTGGATTGGTCAGCGCAAGGATGTTTCACCAGAATTATGAGCGAATCCCAAACGGAATGCAAGTGCAATCATTTAACTCACTTTGCTGTTCTAATGGATATCACCGAAAGTAAAGATGAAAGTAATGCAGGGGATACAAAGGTATAAGTTTCATTTAGTGTTCTTTCTATGGTGTATAATTGTATCAGTTGGCAGCACGTATCATTTCAAGTTCATATTCTAATAAAACAAGGTACTTACGGAGAAAATGCATTTGTAGTGTAAGTACTTCAAAAACCTTTGCTGTACAATCCGTTCGCATAAAAAAAATTGGCCATTATAAAGTGTTTCCAAAACATTAAGTTAGGAGTACTGTGGCTTGAAAGAAAGAATACACCTAAAACTATGTTGGGTCAATTGCACTCAGATTCCATATCCCAAAGGCGCGCATTTTTGGCTACAACCTGCCACAGGAAGGCAGATAGTAACATAAAGTGTTTCCAAAACAGTCACTTAGGAGTACTGTGAAGTTCAATTCAGGAGCATGGTTTACGCTAAAGAAGCCATTTACAATGAAGGTCGTGTATTTCAATTGACTTCAAAGGAAGATGACAGGATATTAACAGTTCTTACACGTGTTGGGATGGCTCTATCGCTGGCTGGAGTTTCTGTAACAATCATCAGCTATATACGGCTAACGTAGGTCTACTTTAGTTATATGGTATAACTTGCGAACTAAAAATTGCTCAAGGTATTGGTCAATTTAGCATGAAGGATGTGGTATTTTTTAGTCCAGGTGAAAGTAAAGAACCTTTTGGTTGACAAAGACTGACGTGTAATCAATCCATGTATAAATGAAGGTAATACATTTCAATTGACTTCAAAGGAAAATGACAAGATACTGACAGTTCTTACACACGTGGGGATGGCTTTATCGCAGGCAGAGAGTTTCTATAACAATAATCAGCACATTATATAGCTAACGTAAGTCCACTTCATTCAAATGCTATAACTTGGGTGTTTAAAAAATTGCTTGAGGTATTGGTCAATGTAGCATGAAGGATTAGATATTTTTTATTGTGTTGTCTGATAGTCTTCTTTGTGAGATGCCACAGAGAACCTTCTGGTTGGAGCAAAGACTGACATCTTTATCAACCTCAATAAACACTGGGAGGTAGGGTAACCTGACGGTGGTTTCAGACATTCTGTTGGTCGCAATTTATTTAAACTGACACAAAGTAACCCACAAAGTTAAAAAGAAAGTCAGCTGTGAAATGTGCATCCAAACAGACAGAGAGTTAAGTTTAAGGACATCACCAATCACATTGCAATAGAATTTATTGACTAAAAACGCTTCGGGAGGTAAGTTTTCTCTTTCTTGACTTCCTCAGTTGAATCTTCTTCCTTTTGGTTTTCACATTTCTTTACACGTCTATTTGTTTGGGCTTCTGTAGAGACAGGCAAGCACCCCTGTTCCATAGTCGGGTGGGACTAACATCTTGCATTGGAGCTGGACACATTGTCTTTTTTGCTGGGATTGTTGCCACAGAAAACAAGGTGAGAGTTGGAGCAGAATGCTTTACATCTTTATCCTTCAGTGTTATTTGTTTAGATAAATTTGTCTGAGCTGTTTCTTTTTCTGATGATTGCTCGCTTATCAGTACATCAGCCAACTGATGATGATTCCTTATAGGCTGCCTGTGTTACAATTGCTGCTCTCATGCAGTACTTCCTGATGGCAGCTTTCTGCTGGATGCTTGTTGAAGGAGCTTACATTTACTTATTTGTGGTAAAGGTGTACAACGTCAACGATAAAATCTGCCGCTTTCATGGTCTTTGTTGGGGTAAGGAAAGCTACTTCTTGAGATGTGAACACTAAATCCCGTTGAAAACTAGGCCACTAAGGTAAATCGAATAAAGCAAAGCAATTATCGACCGAAAAGGATTAACGATGTGTTAATACCAAAATTCGGATTGGCCATCAGCACTTACCAGAAAAGTCTTGAAGAATAGTTACTACTTTTGTCAGTATGACAAAGCGAAAGCAATTACGATGGGCCATTTGTAAAAGTAGATATTATAGCCGTCAAATCTATCTAGTATTTGTAATTGTCAACAATGCTTATTTTTATTCGTTGCGCTTTTTTGCTAAAGGACTTCCTGCGGTCATGGTTACTGCATCTCTGGGTATTGTTGCAGGAAAAGATGGAATCGAAAATTATGTCAGTGATCAGTAGTAAGTTTGAATGTTTACCTATTAAATCCTCTCTATGGACCCGGAAGTATCGCTGCGGATATGTGCCATATGTGCCAGCCACCTGAACGGGGAAGAACCAGGGGAAGGGTTGTGAGCTCCCTTCTGGTAATCTTCTTCACGTCGAATGTGTGGATCGAAACTAAGTCGTCTATCTTTTTTTCTTTCTTCTGAAATGAGTTGGCGTTTCTTTCTCTTCAATTTCCCTTGTTTTGTTAATTAATATATTCATCCATCCATTTTTTCCTGTTTTGTTCCAAACCCCAAGCTGCTGGATATCTTCAAGAAACAAAATCATCTGGATATTTGTTTCCTTTGTTGGACTAATTGAATTTGTATGTGATGAAACTTCTTTTTAACATAAATTTCGCACTTCTCACATGCAACTTATCTCTTAGCACTTCATCTCCTCCAGCTCATAAACCTAATCAAATTTTTTTTTTAATTTAAATTTTTTTTTCAATATAAATAAATATATAAGGGAGAGACAGATAGGAGGAATCCATTTATCCATCCACTACACCACAAACGTTAATAATCTTAATAGTCTTGAGAACGAATTTATATCCACAAAGCTATATAATGGCGGATGGCTATTTTTCAAAATATACTCCAGTTACTTTCCATACTCTTGCGCCAAAACATTTCTTATTGAAAATCCTATTTAGTGGAGTCGACATCACTCTTAGCTGCCGCCCCTTTTTCCCGCTTCTGTCCTATTTTTTTCTCATATTTTATACCATTCCTGATGGACAATATACAAAAATTAAATAACTTGTATTCCTATTATTGCTTGTAAAGATTAATATAGCGATCCTCGTGCGAGTTATCAAGGAAATTACTACAATCCAACATGTGAAAGACAACCAGAGTGAGCAGATCAGGTAGGATGAACATTTCCCTCTTCCTATGAATCACACGATCCTCTCAACATAGCTGTTCCCAGAAGAATGCCAGATACTTGACACAAATGAACTTCATAATGGTATAGCACATTATTGAGTACTGTAGCTCCGTTGTTGGACGTCCGAGTGCGAAATCCGACGGTCTGGGGTTTGTTTCCCTGAGGAATCGAGTTTTCAGGTTGAATACAAATCTCTTTTTCTCCTTCAGGGTTGGTGTTCGAGCATGCGTGGTGTTGACTCCGTTGCTTGGAGTTACGTGGCTGATTGGTTTCTTGTCGCCGTTGCACATTGCGTTTTCTTACATGTTTGTCATGCTAAACTCTACACAGGTAAAGTACAAAGCTAAGGGCTGATACGCCTGAGGTGCTACTTCTAGAGGAATGTTAAGGCGTATTTCCAAGAAGATGATTATCAAACTTTCAAAATGAGTAAGGTGTAACTCAGATTAACTTTCTGATTCAGAAACTTTTAAAGTTAATGTTAAGCACAGAGAGAACTTAAAGCGAGAAAATTAGTTAAATTAGGTTGTGATGGCCTATCTCTAAAACTATAGACCTGCTAAAACCTCTGAAGTACCAAGATGCCATTAATTCTTAGCCGATAGCCGATAGAAAAGAATGACTGAAAATAAAAAGAAGTGTGGGACCGTTAATTTTACGAGAAGACTCTTTATTCATGATGAAAAAAACAGAAAAATAACCCTTTAACTCCCATGAGTGATCAAGACAGAATTTTTCCTTACAATATTAATACAGTATCAAGCAGACAGGTCATGAGAATGAAGAAAAACATTAATTAGGGTATTACTAGTTGATCCAATACCAAATTCTCCAAACTAAAATCACAAGCACTATATAGCAGAGAGTAAGGATAATTACCAATGAGATTTGGGAGTTAAAGGGTTAATGTTCCTTTGACGTTTTTCTAACCTACAGGTTTTTTTTTTTTTCAATTAACTATTTATTTATTTGTCTGCTTATCTATTTACTGGCCCCCTTTTTTCGGCAGGGCTTCTCGATTTTCTTCTTTCACTGCTTGAGAAATAGTGAGGTATGGATAAATTTGAGTGTTCATAATCTGCACGTCTTCAACAGGAAAAAAATGTTTGCTAGCGAAAGGAAAGTATCTAATTAGTGCCTCACATTCCTCACTTAGATAAGAGAACGTTTCAAAAGAAGACTTCGACAAGCACGGCCCTCTCGGCTACACAAAATTAAACCCCAAATGGGAGAGGCAAAGTCTGTGAAGCCAGTCGGAGTCGAGATAGATGCTCAAACTTCAGAGTTACAATGAACCATGATATATGCACTTGGAGATTTCTAAGTAGATACTGAACTTACGTTTACCTTTGACCAAAACCATGGAGAAATTCACCATCCCCACAGATTGTCAGCGGCTCAATTTAGTTATCGTCTTCCAGAGGATCCCACAGTTTTAAGAGGGTATTAGTCGTCGCCATAAAAAAAAAAAAAAAATTGATTGACATCGAGGGAGGGTAATTTCACAGAGTCTTATGGAGGGGTGTGGCAACCAAAATCGTTCCAACCCCCCTCAACACGGCGCAGTATCATGCTCAAAATCGGACAGTGGTATAGGAGAGATTACGAGTCATGTCTGTAAAACTGGACAATGCACATCAGCTGAAATTATAGCATTATAAGTTCTTTTTGCTGAAGTGTATTTTTTCGCAAGTTTAGTCATAGTTGTGATAAATTGGTTCCATTACTTTCGGTTGTCCAATGTTCAGCAATCGTTTAAGCTGTTTACTAATTAAATGCACCCCTGCTTCGCAATTATTCGATTTTGTTTATAACTCGTGTGATTATAACCCAGACGGGATTACAATCATCCTCGTTATCATTAGAAATTTCGCAAGTGCTTAGGAGTCCAGTTCTACTCTCGAACGGAGACATACAAAAGTTTAGTCTTAGTGCGGTAAATCGTCAAATCGTCCTAAACAAGAATGCCGACTTATCTCATAAATCTCATTCGCAATTTCTCTCTACCGTCTGCTATACAACTCTCAAGTCGTTAGTTTGGAGACTTAGGTATTGAATCAACTAATTATCCTTTCATTGAAATTTTCTTCATTTTCCTTTCTTAATTTATCTAAATACTGTATTGGTATTGTTAGGAGAAGTTATTTCTTGGTCAGTGGTGCGAGTCAGAGGGTAACTGCTGTACCTGAGAAATTTTTTCAGCCAATTTAAGCTTCGTGCTCTACTTTTTCGACTTTTTTTGGAGATTTTTTTAATTAAATGTCTTGGTTCATGATATGTGACGATTTCTATATAATTATATGATTAAATATTCAAGATTTAGCTCTAAGATTGAGATGACAGAAACGCCTTCGAGTTTTTTAAAGTAGTAAATCTTAAGATCTGCAAACAGTCATTAGGCATATGAATTAACTTAGATACAACTGATTTTATTAAGTAGAACACTCAATTCAGTGTGTAGAATGTAACATACAGATGATAACAATTTCATTAGGCTATTACACTTTGGTTATATAACCATGCAGATACAACTGTTGCATGTTCATCCTTTTTTCATAAACACGTGATAATGCAAATAGAAATTAAAAAGGATAATAAAAATGTTATAACCATGCGATGCAACTGTTGCACGTTCATTATTTTTTTCATAAACACCATTATGATTCAAATAATCTAAAAAACAAATTATCTTAGCTGCTAGCAAAGCGAATGGGCTAGAGAAAACGAGAAGAGACTGGAAACACCTCTTGGGCACCCCAGGACCTCACCATCCTTATTTCCTCACTCGCTTCCTTTTAAAACTTAAAATTGACCATCGCATTAAAAAAAAGGAATACATTTCTAAACATCAGTACCATGTGGGAATTCTGAATATAAGAACATAGAAACAAAATGGGAGGAAAGGGAGGGAGGGGTGGTACTATCACAGGTCTTTAATATGAGCTAGGTTTTAACTTAAGAGCGTGTCCACGAGAGCACCGGACAATCGTGCTATACGTCATCTCACCGATTTCAATGAAAATAAGTCAGTTGAAAGGGTCTACCCCAAAACTCAAAAAGAAAAACTGGTTTCTGTTTTGGTTTTTTCAGGGGGAGAGATAGAAACCCCCCCCCCCCCCCCCCCCCCCCCCCCCCCCCCCGATTTTTCTTGGTTTTCACCAAGAAAATCGCTTCAAAATAGGTAAAATGTATGAAGCTCTCACTGCGATGGTATTTAATCAATTACTCTGAGAGTTTGCACATATATTTTTACATCCTTAGTTAATGTCCGCCACAAGTATCAGTCAAATTGATTGTCGGCTTGTCAATCAACAGAGGCAAATATACGACTGTGTTTTTAGACTTTTCGATTCATCCAAATATTTGACAACTTTGAGGTCAAATATCTCCCGTTGCCAGAAAGCTACAACACTAATCTTAATTATAATTTATAACCCATTACTTCATCTCTGAAAACCATGAAAAAAATCATTGGGCACTACCTTATTTTCGTGGATACCTTTTAAAATCTGCGACTGTGACAAGTTTCTCTCAACTACACCTGTAACGCAATTCTTGCTCTAAATAAACCTACATTTTTTAGCTCTTTATACAAGATGATTGATCAAGAGAGGTGAAAAATGTGAAAACTTTCGAGATTTTTTGTATGAATGGAAAATTTCACGTTTAGAGAGATGCATGTAGGTGAAAAATCAATGGGAAAATGGTAGCGTTTCTTTCTTTAGTCTTTTATTACTTTGAAGATTTGCTAAAACCAGCAGATATAGCTTTTGTACGGCACAAAACATTCATTGTTTATCATTATCATTGCTCATTTTAGGAGATTTTAAAGTCACATGCTGCATGTTGGTTGATATCACTACAAGTTCCAGTGTGCTACAACTTCGGCTTTTACAGACGAGAAATTCTGCACTCTCTCTTGAGAGCAAATATCAATAGTTATATCAGACTAAAAACTGTGCTTCTAGCCCTAACTTATATATGTCAGTCCTTTCTCTTAACCTAATATTGATAAAGTTCGCAGGAAGATAGATATATGGACATAAACAAAACACCTTCAATAACATAAGTGGGCTGTTGGAGACCTCAAAGTTCGTAGGGTCTATTTTATCACCTGGGATTAATCCTCTATTGTTGAGGGTAGTTATACGGGAACGAGGGAAAAATCCCTGAATTTTGCTTTTAAGGTGTAATGAAGTATTTTGTCGAATACGAGTTGTAAATAAAGAACTTAAGCAAAACTACGCGAGAGCAACGTAGCATGAGTAGCTACGAATATCAAAATGAATTTACTTTAGGTGTTGTAAAGTAACAATAGCTTGCTATTGTTACTTTACACAGCTGATTAGACCTTAAAGTTAACAAATTCTTTACAACTTACGATTCACTCCAATAACGATGAGCTAAATACCTTTACTTCCTTCTTTAATTACATGTTGCAGTTCTCAAAATCTCCAGCCAGTTTGGATAAATTAAATTCTTTGCCATCTTATAGGCCTCACTTATTTTCTGCAGTGTATGGTGGGTTTAAAGGAGCGTTTGCATGTTGCGTGTTTCCAAATCCGTTTAAATCTAGAATTCATTCGCCTTTCAGTATTTTAAGCTCTGCCCAAAAGAACGGTAAAGTTACGATATTATTGCCTACGAGACTTCACATATTTTTGTTCTTAAATTGTTTAATTGCGTGACAGTGAAGTCTTTGGTATTTGCCTATCAATAGTATTAGATTCAATTTCTCCACAAATTTGCCTTTGATTGCTATTCTTATGCGAAAGCTAGTTAACGTAGTGCTTTGAAGAGTGTTTGTGAGTTTCGTGCAATAAAGTTATGTTTGTCATTAAAGCCTATTTGTTTCCGTAAAATCCTGTTAGATATTATGCAAAAACAATAACATAGTGCGTTCTAGTCAAAAGAGAGTTTATGGTGTCCAGAATTCACGGCTGTCTACTACAATTCGACATTGCTGTATTTTTTTGTTACAAAGAATTGTTGTACAAATGCAAAGAGGTTAATTAACAGCTCTGATAAATGCCAAATTAGAGACAGAAGGAGGACTTGGTTAGAATAGGTTTGTATACTGGTCATATAGAATGGGTATTTGATATGCATTATATGTATGGGTATACGTAATGTAAAATATATACACTAGTACTAGCAATATATTTTTTTAATATATACTTTTCATTCTCTGATGACAGTGAAACAAAATTAAGTCGTTTGTTTATTTTATGTTTTTTTTTTCTCTAAGAGCACGGTAACGAATCATGCATTCTGATTGCTTCTTGGTGCCGTCCGCATTTTTTTTTTATCTCTGCCCACGTGAGTCGTGGGTCGCCGAGTACATCCCTAGCTTCGATACTATTTTCATGAATATAACTTGTTTTTCCGGCTGAACATATTTTCAAGCAAAGTATTTTCAAGCAATTCAAGCCGATTATTAAATTATTAATCGTCTCTTTTCTCTCTCTCAAATCACTTTGGATGCTAGCGACAACTTGTTTATAAAATGAATTTGTCTTCGTAAATGTGATATTATAAAATTGGTTGAGACGCGGCCTAAAAACCGTTTCTAATTGGATTGAATCCTTCACCAACTCATAGAGTAAAAACTGTGAGGCATTTGTTTATAAAAGGCCACTTCCGAGTTCTCACGGTTCAGTGATCTGGTACCGAAATTACGGTGCAAGGACGAGACTAGGTGCGAAGTGGTTCTCGTCGGTACAACGAATAAAGAGTCGTGGTGGTGAAAATGAAAGAAAATTTTTGGTGTCATTATAGAACCGTAGCGAGGACTTACTGTACTTTGCGAAACGAAATTGTAGTTTGTGACACAACAAAGGCACGCGAGCTGTGGAATGTTGGGGAAGTGGTACTGGAAATTTGCCTTCACTTGTTTGTAATTTCTCCTCCAATAGTTTTCTGCGGTCTTTGGTAGGCTTGAGTCGATTGTGCTCGTAAAACTGGCATATTATGCTCCTAGCACTGCTCAAAATTTATGAAATTTTTGCCCGAGTTATGCTCGTTTCTCTAAATTATGCTCCTGGCATCAGAATTATGCTACTTGATTTTAAGCAAATTAAAGGCAGAGCACCGGGGTAAACACAAAACAAACAGCAACTGATTACTTATCTGGTGACTGCAGCCCATTATTTTAATAAACCAATTATCAAACATTGTGTCGTTGCACGTTTCCCCTAAATTTGTTCCTCAGAATCGATAAACATGCTGCTCATCATTTTTCAATCAATGGAGCTTCTTAAGTCAAAGTAAGGACGCAGAGTAATACGCTTATCAGCGTTTATTGTACTGAAGCATAACACAAGTCCGAATATAATCTCCTGGAGCATGGTCTTGCGAATCGTTGAGAGAGGAGTTAATTAATGAGACATTGCCTGAAGAACTAAAAGTGTTCGACGAGGTGGACGCCATCTTTTATCTTGGATCTCAGTCAACTCGCTAGCGAGTCGTACGAGTAGGGCCTGAAACCGAGAAACGTTACAACGACCGCAGTGAATTCACCGTAAGCGCAATTCATTATTAGCAACAACATTTTAGAAACATAATTCAGTCAAGAGAAGTATATTCAATACAAAATTACGGAAATTGTTCACATCCTGGAAGTAAAAATGCAGATTATGCCGGTAGTGCTTTTCTTTGAAAAAAGTTTAAAATTATGCTCGTTTTGCCAAATTATGCTAAAAATTATGCTGGCACAATCGACTCAAGCCTAGCCTTTGGCACAGGAGGCAAGTTTGACCTGCTTCATTGCGGCAGCTTCTTGCATGAATCAAACAGAGCTGCGTTACTTTTTTCCCCTTTGCCGCCATCACTTCACGTAATGCCTCTCTCGCAAAAAGTTTTTTTTTTTTTGCTCTTCCACTATGAGATTTTCAAGAGTTTTCGCTCGTTTCTCTACCACTGCATTTTATTCCTCATACCGATGAAAGCGACTTCGCACTTAGCCTCGTCCTCAGGCCGTAAATTCGGTACCAGAACGCTGAACCGCGAGAACTCAGAAGTGGGCTATTAAATTCATCGGTTGAATTTTCATTCATTCGATATCTGATCGAATTCTCTCAAACAATGTTTTCGTTGTAAAACGGTGAGCGGAGTCTTCAGTCCCAATAAAA